ATATTGCGATTCATAATATATTCTGTTCCTAGCTATTCAGTGCATTATATATCATTTCCCATAGAATAGACTTATTAAAGAAAAAGTGAGTATCAGTTCATTTACTTTTAATGATAAATTGAACATTATTTTATATAATATTTGAAGTTACTAAACCAAGCAAGCTGAAATTTGAAAACATTTAACTTTTGTTTTGAAGTTATTGTATAACTGTGCCCAGAGAAGTATAATACGTATTATACGTCTCTGCTGTGCCTAAACTACCAAGTACTCGGTTGAATTAATTGCAATATATACTGATTCACAGATATTGTAATATCATAGTGATAGCATTTAATATTGCCAACCGTTAATAGTTATATGGTAAGTTCACTTTACACAGAGACGTATAATACACTCTGTATTATACGTCTCTGCTTTACTGTAAGAGATGTGTCTGATTTTGAAAGTAACTTCAACATATTGATGCTTGAAAAAATTTGCTGATCACTTTTTATAATGCAGTAGAAATACACTGTACCAAGATCTCTTTACTTGTTGTTTAAATTTTTCAATCACAGGAAATATTTACTAATCTATCAGGTATTGGAATTTCTTAAATGTAGGGTCAACGCCTATGCAAATTTAACATTAGCGTTGGGCCCTCTTGAAATTTCAAAACAAGATAAATATAAAAAGGGTTAGGTAAAGGAAGCTTAAATCAGAAACAGTTAGGTTAAAGGTGTGGTAAGACAAGTCCTCCTTGAGCATTTAAATGACACAATTACTAAAGAAGAGGCCCAGAGGGCCTGTATCGCTCACCTGAATATTTAAGCAGTCATAGCAAAATATTCTCATAATATTGCACTACAAATATTTCCCTCGCAAACTTTGTCGGCTCCATCTGTTGAAACTACCAGCCAAATATTATCATAAGATCCCATGCTTTTTGGTTCTTCTTCAGAAGCTACTTGACATATTTTCCCCCGTGACCTTGTAAGTAGGTCAATGTCATTTTCCTTCTCCTACTTTATTAGCTTTATCCCAAAAAGCTACCAGCCAAATCGTATGAATCCATTCCTTTTGGGTCTTAAGAACAAATCTTTTAAAATGTTGTTGACCTCTGTGACCTTTAAGGTAAGTTGAGGTCATTTTCATTTTCAAACTTTGGTGAGCTCTATCCAAGGAAGCCACCAGCCAAATATTATAATTTATGCCGTCGATTATTCAGAAGAAGTCGTTTGATGTTTTTGACATATTTGACAACTGTGACCTTGAAAGTATATCTTTGAAAGTATATCATTGAAAGGATATCTTTCCTTGCTTTACTTGTTTAGAGTTAAAGATATACAAAAAATCACTGCTGCACATAACTTAAAAACATGCATAATAGAATGAAGTGTTTTTGTATGATACAAAAACGAAAAATGTATCTGTATTTACAATAATAAACAATGATAATCAAATCCTCATGACTATGTGAAACTATACATTGACCATGTTAGGCATGCTTAAAAAGTATTTTAACGGTTTTGATCTTATATAAAAATGATTCTGTAGACAGAATACATATAAGTGAAGTTTTTAATGAAGTATAAAATATACACTACCGCGTTAACGTTATCTGTAGGCCTAGGTCCTATTACACTGTTCACGAAAGCCTGGTGCTTAATATAAAACAATATTGGTATTGTAGCATCAGATAGGTACATATGTTATGTAAACAAATGAAATATAAATAAAAAAGAAAAATATTTTCATCCTAACAAAAACTGACAAAAAAGGAAAAGATATTGTTCTAGATCTAATATAGATTCTAGATTCGATTTAGTTATTAAACATTGACAGATCAATGAATGAAAAAGTTCAGTCTAAATAAATGATCATCAATTAGGCTTTGCAAGAACTAACTTTATATTTTAAGCGAAACAACGTTAGTTCGTGTGGTCATTCGTTGACCACTGCTACAATGTATATATAGATTCTACATTTGTAGGTGAACGTGTTTTTATAAGTGTTTGTTTTTATTTAAAAAAGAATAAATACAGGTTTTTGTTTTCATATATAAAGTATACATTAATTAATCGCAATTAATATTCTCTGATTTCAACAGGTTGATTCAACCGAGATATGGTATCGACGAATGATTTTACCAGGGTGGTCGGGGTTCGATCCCTCGAGCGGACATGGAAATGTATGGGGCCACCTCACCGACAACATCGTTTTTCTCCGAATACTCAGGTTTCCGCCCAAATTAAGATCCCCGCGTGCTAACATCCGGGCCAACGAGTGTGAATGATCTTGCCGCTTTTACCAATCAAGGCGGCAGCGGTTCGATTCCTCGATCGGACACGTAAGGTATGGGGCCACCTGCCCGACCACATTGTTTTCCTCCGGATATTCAGGTTTCAGCTTAAATTAAGATCACCGCGTGCTAGCATCCGGGCAAACAAGTGTAATTGAACTTGTTTTGTAATTGTTGTAAAGTCCGTGAAATCCGCGGTTGATTTTCCAAAATCAACACCACGAGGAGACCATTGCGGGGTTAGTATTTCTCTATCAGCTTGACTTGTAATTTATATGTATAGGTATGTTGTGAATATTTTGCTGTTGGAAAAGATTACAAAATGATATAGATGTACAGGATCTTACAAGAGTTTCCATTTCATATGAGATTTATGAAACGAGTCTAAGAATTTTTCAATTTAGCGTGGCGAGCTAAAATGAAAAAAATCTTGACGAGTTTCATAAATCTCAAATGAAATGAAAACGAGTGTAAGATCCTTTTTATCACACAATTTGATTTGTGGCATTAATTCGTGTATATCGACAATTGTTATGCATCCTTGAAATGTAAAAAGCCGTCATTTTGACTTCAGTGTGCGTAATTCTGTGACGTCATGTGGTCCTGACGTCACAATTGAAACAATTGAAACTTACAACCAATCACAGGGCTGATAGGTCATATTACATAGGTAAATATTCACTGGATAACAGTACCCATTATGTGATAAAACAATATATTGATTAACACTGCAAGTTCTGCCAATATATTCAACGTTAACATACAAACTGTGATATATGCGTTCTTCGTATCTCCATATTTTATGACAAACTCCACATTGTACATTAATATTTTTTTATATGAGCAATAACGTTGGAGCAATGCTAGAATATCATATCCTGCATTTTTTACACGAAAAGTATTTGGGAACTTGAAAATACAGAGAAGAAAAGTTACAAAGTCAAAACGGATATTAAGGACTCAAAATGGTTTTGATACACGAGCAAATACCAGCAGATAAGTACAGTAATTGGTTTATGAAATTATATAAATAAATTCTACCACAATACGCTGTGTTATTCCACTCTCAGATCATTGTATAAATGCAGACTGTTGAAAAAATTTGAGTTATACACCCCACGTGGTATATGCCGTAGTTTTGATTGGTTGAAAAGATGAACCTTGACCTGACGACTTTTTCCACGCGCTTCTTGCCGCGTGGTGTTTTGTTTACGTCGTCTGCTGTCAACATCTGTCAAATGTTGGTGACTTTTGTATCGTTATGCGATGGGAAAAGGGGTTATTAAGGCAATACTAAAGGAAGATGTTGCTTAAAGATTTGATCACTAGTTTCAGGCAAAAGTGCTATAGACGCTCGATATCGTCTCGACGCCATACCGTTGCATGTCCAGGTCGTGAAACCCAAATACTAATGTCTTTGTGAAACCCAAACAAGATCTGTAACAGTGTCGGAAAATATTTCGTTCTCCCCATGTCCCGTTATCAATATTTGGAGGGCCTGTCTTTGGCGGAACTCTCTCTATAAACGTCAACCATAGAACCTCACTAAGAAACGTCCCGGGCCTATGGTTTTGGACATTGACAGCGGTGAGTTCGTCTTCATCACTTGGCGGGAGGCAGACTTCGTACGATATGCTTACGCGCATATAGTCCGTCGTTAATATATATTAATTAATGAAATATTGCATACTCTCAATATTTAAAGTCGTTCATCTATTTTATTTTTTCACGAAGTTGTTGCCGAAACACTAATTTTGAAAATTATTAAATTTGTAAAAAAAAAAAGAAGTCATTATTGAATATTAATGAGTGACTTTTTACATATGGGACATATCACTACGCCAGCCTTGTCAACACAATGTGTGTATGCTATTCAAATCAGGAAATACTACAGCTGTTTCCGACTGAGATTGTGGTAGAAACAGATCACACGACTCGTGGTTGTTGAGTATGGTATTTATTTCACTCTCGTTAGTTAATTCAAAAGTTACAGAAAGACATCGCTAAAGCTCATGTCTTCTGTAACTTCTGAAAATTAACTAACTCGAGTGAAATAAATACCATATTCAACAACCGCTCGTTGTGTAACCTCTATACAATACATGTAGTCATTGACAACTCTGGTCAATGTAGAATTCTGGTCAGTTTTCAAGTTGAAATTCTGGAAGCAGTCAGGTGAGATGGCCCGTTTCAAATTATGTTTGAGGAAAAACCAGGATTAAATCTTGGTTATACTGTTTATAAAGAAAAAAATGCGTGCACTTTACATAATTCCGTATAACGCCTGTGTAACAGGAGAAAGAGAAATGCATCGGTCAAACCGGAGTTCTAGCTTGGGACCCTCCGAATTTTAGATGGGTGCTCTACCAACTGAGATACCTGGTCACCGACGATAGTTCGAGTCTATTTTCGCTACAATCCTCCCTTCTCTTTCCAAATCTACAACCCAGGCTGGTTTATCTCCTTGCCAAGTATTAATCCATTGCTTGAATTAAGGGTTGCCAAGCACGCCAATTGTGTAACTGGAGAAAGAGAAATAAAACGGATAGACCGGGATTCGAACCCAGGACCTCTCGCACTCTAGACGGACACTCACCAATCCAGCTACCAAGGTCGCCAACGATCGATCCATTCCAGTTCCGCTTCACATACAACTCCCAAACACAAATAATCTTGGATGAATTTATAAATAGAAGCATAAAACGTTAAAGTGCATTGTATTTATTAATTTCTGATTAAAACCATATTTTGTACAAAACACAAAATTGCACTGTAAATTCATTGCAGAGCAATATCAATCAATATTAAGATAGAATTACAAATATGGTACCAAGAAGGCCGATATATGACGTCATCAGTTTTTGTAGTGTCATTTTGATTAAGGATATACAGGTAGATATGTACCATATGATTCGAAAAATTCATTGTGGGAATAACCGGGATTAAAGTACAAATATAAAAGTATGGATTATACAACAGATAATATGATAAAAGGACGCCATATCGTCTATCGTCAAAGATGTTCACAATAAAACCTAAGTAAGTAAAGGGTTTTCGTCCCACTGCAGGCAAAACACAAGATAATTCCGTCGTAGTTTCCAATATACATAGAGTTACTTCCCCTTAATTTGTTTCGTTTTAACCATAGTGGGACCTATAAACTCAGTTAGCCGGAGCGGCCGTTTTCTGATCAGAGGTCCGAGGTTTGAATCCTGACCTGGTGAAGTTGCATTGTTGTTATTCTCCCAGCACACCCTTATTAATTTCGATTTGATTGTCATTTTTCAAAAATGTACCCCAATGGTTTCTTTTCAAAAAGGATTTTCATTTTCTGGAAAAAACCAAATTATTTTAGACATTTTTATATTGATTCAAGTTATATTTACAACCGTTCACAAAATATATACAATGACAAGATACGAAGAGGAATGGCATTCAATTGTTCACTGTGATACCGACAGAATGTCGTGCTATAGGTCTATTGGCCCTATATACACCTAGTGAAATATACAGCCACGAGATGAGGAACAATACTAGTCACATGGTATTTCGGTCTGTCATATATATTTTATACTTTATACTTTTAAAAATTGTAGACCAAGAAAATTAAATATCATTTTGTGCCAATTAAGAAATGATGCAAGTGACTTGAATCATCATAAATGTATAGATCATCTTATCCCAGATGAAGTTTGTGTCTGTGGTTGATCTAGTGAAAATGCTGATCATTATTCTTTTACTTGTCGTAAATACTCTAATTCTAGGTATTTACTTCATGAAATTCATGATCATGACCGTATTGGTTATTCTAATTCAACTCTGTTAACTTCAGGTGATAATACCCTGTCGGATGATATTAATGAACTTATTTGAACTAATATCCAATACTATATAAATGCTACTGAACGATTTAAGAGATTATAATGTAATAATTGAATGATTGATATCTATTGAAGACCTCTATTATTGTACAGTCTGGATACTATCACTATGCTATATATATGTAGTGACTTTGAAATTATGTAGATTACTGACTTACTAAGGCTGAGTACACATCTAATATAGATGTGTTGTATGTGTGAGGGTGTGTGTGACGTGTAGGCATGTTGATATTTAAGTCTGTATAAGATTGAGTAGATGTTTACATATTTAATTATTATACATTACCCGAAGTATACTCTCTGAATGTTTGTGTAATACTACCATCGATGCTTTCATTCTATAATATATAACCTTTTATATACACATTACTGTTTATGCTATCTACTATTCACCTCATTCACTCTGACCTGTATATATGTGGTACCTATCGGAGAGGACTTTTATGGGCTTGCCTGTTGTCCAATCCATTTGTTTTCTAAACAATAAAAAAATTGAAATGAAATGTATTTCATCCAATCAGATAATTACTGACCGATACAGAAACGTTTTGATGACGTCACAGGGAGGTGTGATGTAAATCCTGTACAACAACGAAATGAAGAACACTGCTCACAAAAGTAGCTTTTTGAAAAACTGTTTCAGTAAGAATATGCATCGTTTCCGCGCGATCATAAACAGAAATTACATGTTCTCTCCGTGCACAAGCTAAAAAATGCATAGTTTCGTAGTTTTGTGACAAATAAGTAACAATATGTAAAAAATAGCAGGTCCTCTAACGCGTGTACTACATTATATAACGTATCCTAAAATACACATATAATCGACCTTGTTTTGTTAAGAAATGCAAACTAGCGATAGTTGTTTTTTAGTTTCAGTCAGGCATGTATGGTCCCCACGATATTTACCTGAGGTTAGCCTCGGGTCAGATCTAAGCCTGCCGTTTCTTTTTTCGGGTTAGCTGGTTGAAACGGTTGAACCGGACACTCGAAATCAAGGCATTTTCGTTTATGTACAAGTGAGACACACCTGGATGGGTGAAACATGGGTTGAGGAGGCATTGGCTTTCGTTTTGCAACCTCCTTATATATTCTTCGTATATATGTAGATAACTAGAAAAGTGTGCAGCGATGTTGTGCATAGAACGTTGATCATGTCCTATAATGTCAAGGCCATCCTTTAAAATGTTGCGTTGGTGCCGCATGCAATGAACACATATATATACATCCCTACAGACATTCACGAAGCACAACACTGACTATGAGAACTACACTAACCACAGTATATACTTTCGCCAATTTAGCGGTCATCCATTTCGCAAACTTTCGATCGCGATCATTGACACCAACGATGCTTAGACAAGATATTTTTGATGACGAGTCAGGGCAAATGTCGCAAGGAGGTAGCTTGTAACAATTACATGTGCACGCTTTAAGGTCTTGCGAGGGGTCATCACAAAGAGGAATGAAGCAACAGAAAGAAGGAAAGTCCAATTCAAAATAACAGGAGGGCCTTTCCACTTGTCTGCATGTCGAATTTCTTGTATAACCACTCAATAATCCAAATATTGTTGTGTATATCTTTCGGAGACCTTTACCGTTTATGTCGAGATCGAATTCGCACCCGCATTTGAAAGAAAAAAAGACGAGACAAATAGCTTGAGGAATTTCTTCAAGGATAAACGTGATAAGAACTTCATTGAATCCATGCAGTAAACGAAATCCCTTGTATTTCGTTGTAAGGTCTGGAAGAGTTTCTCCAATTGTATCTGCAATTTGGATCAATGCAAAGAGGGTTCCGAAAATCGTAAACACCAGGTAATAGTTTTCTGAAGCGTCGCAATTGTATGTTATCTCTGCTTTAGACGTTTTCCCAAGGAATGACTTTATTCTTTCAGCAGTATCTATGGCGTCGGAAACATTTTCAGGTAGGAAATCAGAATATTCCATCCAATCAAGCACCGTATCGCAGATTACAAGTGCTATCGATAAAAGACGTTTGAAAACTAGCAGGCAACGTGAAGCCGGATCCTTAAGTTCTGGTACACCGGGCTCAGATGATTTATCCGGGTCCCCTCTGGTCATAGTCTGCGTTGGTGGTTGGACAGTATATATTGGACTACTACCATCGTTATACTGCAGCTGATGAGGTTGATGTCCCTGCTGCCACAGTTGCTGTTGCTGTTGCCATGGTTGCTGCTGGTGCTGCTGCCATTGCAAATACTGTTGACCTTGGATGGTTTGAAGTTGCTGATGACTCGGTTGTACTTGATTTTCTTGGGTATCTTGAAAGCCCTGATGATTTTCGGGTATTCCTTGTCCTTGGATCCCTTGAAATTGTTGTTGCATTTGGTGCATTTCTTGTCCATACGGATTGTCTGCTGTTTCAACGCCAACTATCCAACGGGCAGGCTGCAAGTCGGAAAACTTTCGACTTTGCGGCCTCATGTGACGATTTGGTCGATTCGGTGTTACATTTTGGTATACTTCTTCTGCGTCATCGCCTTCAAAAACAGGATTTCTTCTAACAAAACCGGTAAGACCGGAATTCCGATTCATCTCCTTAGCGTTCCCCGTTACTCTACTTTCGCCTTTATTATTTAAAGGCGGCCTACGAACATGATCTTCATCGCACGCTGTGTTTCCCCTACGGCCACGACCTGCCATCTTATTACTTTTCAGTCTATCAACGTCTAGGGTACGCGAAGAAATGCATTTGATTAAAGGTGTCCACAAATAATGTCACAGAGATAATGCGGATACTTAACATCAGCCTAGTTTTAGGCCAAGCCTATGCAATATGTGGTTATCATACGCGTTACACGATGGCACGTGGTAATGTAGGTAGAATATAAAATTAGTTTTTTTATCATTATAAATGTGTGATTAAAATTGAATATTAAATAGCGCAAAACAGTCATGGTAAAAGCATTATAGGGTTCTATATATTTATAATTAAGGGCACTTTTCTTGACTTCATACATATATACAACGTTTATGAATCGTTGCGTCATATTGACAAAAAGCCATGGGAGCCAGACCAAGATTTGAACCCCGAACCTCAGACCATGACATTGTCGCTCTAACTAACTGAGCTATTTGTATCCAGGCCGAGACGCGCTATAGTTATACTGTACCCAAAATGAAACCAATGGGAAGTTACTGGCTATAAACTTAAACGGACTTCTCTAGTGTTTTGCCTGCAGTGGGACAGGGATCGTTAGTGCAGAAATAATTATCCTGTTGGAGCCCGTTTTGCGTAGGGTTTATTGTTAAGGATCATGATGATTTCCCTTTGAGTCTGCTGTTGCTGTTTCGTATCAAGATTTGATAGTGAAGTTACTCTTGTATATTGATAATGTCTCGCAAATTTTTCACATGGCCTATAACTTATTATCACATACTTTATGATATCTATGATACAGAAACAACCTCAATATTTTCTTAAACCACTGTGTGTCAATGGCACATGGGATAGCGCACTCGCCTCTCGCCAAGACGATCGAGGTTCGATTCCCTAATTGGGCGTGAAAAGGTATTGTGTCACCTGCCCGTCTACGTGAGTTTTTTCTGGGTACTCTGGTTTCCTCCCACATTAAAACCCTCTGCAAGTTTCATTCCTGGCCAACAAGAATGATTAACATAAGACGGAAAAACTAGTTTTATATTTATTTGGTTACCTATGTTTTACCTTTTTGTGAGATGATTCTCTTCGCGTTCATCGCGTACCCCTTATATTGATGGGATGTAAGCTTAGTGTTAAATCAATGGCGTGAACATAATGTTACTTAATCTTTGAGATTAGTTATTAAGATGTTAAGGATGCATGCTACGTTAATGTGACACGTACCGCCTTCCCAAAAGAGTGCCACACTACGAAACATGTAAATTATCTCCCTTGAATATTGGTTCAGGCTTTGGTAATAGTTAAAAGCTGACAGTACACCTTTATGTCATGGGAAACGACAGCCATTCTTGCATGTTTTGTTTATATAACCCAATATTCCAAGTTTTTTAAACAAACCTAATTAAATAACCAACACAATCAAAATCACATATACTGAAGGAAATAGTAAATGTTGTTGGCCTATAGTTGTTCTATTTATCATATAAAAATAATCACACAGACTTAAAAGATAGCACATATACAATACCTAGAAACCATGTCTATATACCCGGAAAGTTCATGGGAAAGGTCGTGTTGTATGTCTCAAGTTTTCATCGTTAGATAATAAGTGTCTATTCGATGATAGATATATATATATAGTTTGGGTTAAAACAATCTATGACATTAAGCGATAAGGCTGTAGTTTTCTGATGCTCCGTTCAGACTTATCAGCAGTGTTAACGTTAACTCTGGGGGGTAAATCGCTCTGGAAACTAACAGAAATCTCTCACCGGCTGGTGTACTTAGGAATCTAATAAGACAGCGTCCACACAAAACATTGTATGGTAGTTAACAGTATTTGGTTATGATAAGTGTAGGCATACATAGGCATGAAAATAAAGGACAAGCTGGTGAAAGTGTCCATATATAGTTTAGAAGGGAGGACACAGTGGCGGATCCACGATTTTCAGTTAGAGGGTGCGCAACAATTTTAAGGGAGGGGGGGGGGGGGGGTTATATATAGGAAGCCTCTCTCTACATTCTAGGTCATGGTCTATCATGGTCTAAAGCGAAGCCCGATGTCGGAGGGGGGAGTTCGAGGGGCGGAGCTCCCTAGAAACTGCGGTAGAAATACAAGTGAATAAATATTTTATATCATGAAACAAAATTCTATCATTCTGCCTATTTTAAGCAGTTGCATTAAAACCAGTTTACGATTAAATAGCTATGCCGAGCGTAGTGAGGCGATTTTTTTCAGTATTTAAACGTCACAAAAGATAAGTCGTCCTAACATGTGTGTAGGTACCCCACCCCTTACAGCAAACTTGTGTTTGGTGTTTGGTGTTGTATTGCTTAACGTCCTATCAACAGCTATGGTCATTTAAGGACACCATGTGTGCAAGATGCATGCGTGTAGTGTGTGCGTGTGTGTTTTGGGAGGCTGCGATATGTTCGTGTTTGTCTCCTTGTGATAGCTCGGAACTGATGCCGACTTTATAGTGCTATACCTCATTGAAACATACTGCCGAAGACACCCAGCAGGGCAACCCACTCGGTCACTTTATACTAAACTTGTATCCAATCTTGCTTTTACATGACAATAAAATTTGTTGAAAATAAATCCTTATAACAACACTGAAGTGTATCGACTAGAAAAAAGACAATCTTGCCCACAAAAGTACAAAGAAATTAAACAAACTATACAAAGGGATATTAGTAAATCCTATTGGAACTATAGACGACCTTACCAACCTGGAACCTCAAAAGCCAGCCCCAAAAAAGTCTACTCCTACATAAAAAGTATGAGGTCTGAAAAAGTGTGGATTCCACCGCTGAAGCATGAGGGCCTACTCATAACAGACACCACTGAGAAGGCAAATATACTAAACCGTCACCTTCTGTCAGTATTTACCACAGAAGCTGACGTACCCATTCCTGATAAAGGCTTAAGCCCTCATCCCATCATGCCAAATATCAACATCAGTACTAGCGATATTTCTAAGCTACACCATCTCAACCCCCACAAGGCCATTGGGTCAGATAACACATATTGATCCAATCCTTTCGACCATATTCACCAAATCTGTTAACATCGGAGAAACACCACTCGATTGGAACTTGGCACATACAAAAAAGGTGAAAAGTACAATCCGGGAAATTATCGACCCATATCCCTCACCAGATCATGGAACATGTACTAACCAGTCAATGTAATGTAACACCTGTAATCAGATAACATCCTCGACGATCTACAGCATGGATTCCGCAAATCACGATCATGCCAATCCCAACTAGTACACTTTGTCCATGAACTGACAGATAACAACAACAAAAACAAACATATTGACCTTATTATAATGGACTTTGCGAAGGCGTCCGATAAAGTGCCACATCGACGCCTTCTATACAAACTAAAATATTATAGCATCCAGTCTAACACCCTTAATTGAATTTCCGCATTCCTAAGTAACCGTTCCCAGTCAGTAGTGATAGATGGTTTCTCTTCCGATAGAGTACCAGTTACATCAGGGGTCCCACATGGCACGATCGTCGGACCTGTCCTTCAAATGACCTTCCCGAATATCTTCACTACAGTAATCTCCGGCTATTCGCTGACGATAGCATTATCTATCGCAAATCTCATCTAATGCAGATTGCGATAAACTTCAATTAGACCTTGAAGCTGCTGCCAGGTGGGAAGCAGATTGGCTAATGGTTTTCCACACAGGTAAATGTACCTCACTATCAGTCACTCACATGAGAAAGCCTATTAAATATAATTATATACTTCATGACCAGGTATTGGAAACTGTCCCAGCTGCCAAGTACCTTGGGGTGACACTACAGTCGAACCTCAAGTGGAACACCCACTGTGACAACGTAACATCTATTGATAACAGATTAAGGCCCTTGGTTATCTTAAGAGAAATCTCAAGATTTCAAACACCAATATCAAGGCCAAAGCTTAACAGTCACTTGTGTGACCCAAACTTGAGTTTGGTACTTGCGTATGGGACCCCCATACAAAACGAAATACAAACAAAATTGAAATGGTTCAACGACGTGCAGCTAGATACGTATGCAATAACTTCCATGATACAAGCAGTGTGTCTGGAATGTTAGAAAATCTCCATTGGCCACTCCTAGCTGAACGTCGTCTAAAAACACGACTTGTGTTATTCTATAAAATTGTCCACTGTCTCATTGCTGTTCCTACAACTGATATCCTCTTTCCTATTGACAGTAGAACCAGAAAATCAAATAATCAAAATTTCGGACATATATCTGCAACAAACGACACCCTTAAATGGTCATTCTTTCCGCGTATCATAGTCCAATGGAATGCCCTCTCTGCTGCCACTGTAGACAGTGCTACCGTAGACACCTTCAGAGATCAGCTGACTCCAGCTGTACTCGCACCTCTCCTAAATTAAATACTACTTATGTACATATATAGTTTTATGTTAAATCCAAAAAAAAAAATCTTCTATGCCTGTGCTCGGCCGGTAGTGCCGGGTACAAACTCCAATTACAAACTATGATCATTTTAAAATGTTGAGCTGCCAACATACATTTGTTTATTTGAAGCGTAAGATATTGCAAACTTAAACCGCCATCCGTACCTGCAAAAAAGGTGAAATGTCAGATCGTTCTATCATAAATATCTTACGTGAGCTCCGGATCCCAATCACATTTTGTAAGTTCTCTGATCGCTAACGTTAGTGCAGGCAAATTCGTCACATTAGTACGGGTACACATGTATCAAAGTGCTGTCAAGCACCGGTACAGAAGAACATTTGAATGAAATGCCTATAAATAAACATTGTTGTAAACACGCCTGAATGACGACATGCAGCAACATTTGTGACGTCATCAGGCCTTCCGTGGTTTTGCTCAAAGGTGTAGGCAGTTTCGCCACCATCAAATAAAAAGTGTTTAAATGTAACATTTTGCATGATGGTGTTACACAAGACGTACTGATACGAACAGTTCCAAATGTGTGTTTGTAACAATGATAAAAAATGTTTTTTCTTAAGTTGTGATAGTTAATTTTCGATAACTTGAAGAAACTGATAAATGCTATTTGAGTAAGATGGCTGGGATCGGCTAAGATGAGGTCAATTTACATGCATTGCAATAAAGACCCAGCCCTGAACAAATATAAACTTCCAAATCGGTGCCCAAAATGATATTTTTCATCGGGTCCGAATGAGAGGGTCCAGGGCTTTCAACGGTTGTCCCCCATCTAGACTAATCCCCGACTTTTGGATAATATGTTACATGGACATCTCCGATCGGCTGTTCATATAAAAATCAGTCTTTTTTAACTGTCGGTTTCTACGTACAGTCATCATGCGATTAAACAGCAGTACTTTCAGGCTGACAGCAAATTATTTTTTAAATATATATCTATAACATTTCTAGATGGTGTTTTAATTAAAGTATCGTAAGATGGCTGAATACTAGACGCAAACAATACTTTTTATAAGATACTAGTTGATTTTTTTTTCTAAACTACATGTATACACCATTGCATGAAAATGGAAAATGAATTATCAAATCTTTCCGAGCGTCATTTCCACTTAACAAGCATTGGTTCGTCAGTGAGTACATTGTATGTCCCAAAGTACACTTGCAGGAAAGCAATTTACTTGCATTGACGGCTTATATTAGTCGACCATTAACTGTACGTTATTACCATCGAGATATCGGTATTTTAATGCATTTACACTAAATCACAACCAATAGGCATCAGATTAATAAGTTAAGTTGACGAGATGTCCGTCGCACAGACCAAATTTTTAACACTCGTTGTGTTACAAAAAAAAATCAAAACTGTTTTAATCAATAATATAAATTTTCAGTTCTTATATCTCTTCTTGTCAAAATGTTTGAAGGCTTAAACTGTGTGCAAGACTATGGTGACGTTATTTATGTCACATATATACATCTTATGTATTATGACGTCATATGGCATTTTCGTCAGAGCGTGGCGAATTTTGGTGCATGGCGAATTTAAAACCATAAATGATTAAAATAATCCTGCTCTCAAAATCAGAAAGAGAGTTTTTTTAAGTTTATTTTCATTCTACAAAATTCTTGAAGAGTAGTGCCTGTTACTTATACCAGCTGCTTTAACAAATCTATGTATATGTGTGTTAAAATATGATTATCAAAATAAATGGTTATGATCAAATAATCTGACTGTGAGTCTTCTTTATGTGTTTAACAATGCTGTCACCTGTAACATCGCGATGCAAGGGAGGTAACACATATATAACATACCCTCGTAATTTCGAATTGAAGGAATTGACAGTTGATGCCGAAAATCAGGTTACTATCCTCGGGTTACCGGTTTCCGCGCACTTAAGAAGCATCCGCGATTTCGTAATCATATCGGCAGAAAACTGTTGAAATTACGGATGACTGTCATAAACATATATTTACATTTGCCCCCGCGCCGTCCCATTACAACAGTGTTAGAGGGCAAGTGTAGTTATATAGGCTATAATTACAACTACTCGACTATAATTACAACTGCCTGTTTCAGGTGTAGGAATATGTAAACAATCAAAATGGCCGCCTGAAATGTATTTTGAGGCAGGGCAAATGGTTTTTGTAGGAATAGGTCTTAAAAAAGAAAAATATGTAAATATAAAAAATACCTGGTTGCAATTGTCTGGATGTAATTATTGTTGATATAATTACAAGTGGCCTCTGGCAAATCTACTTGGGATTTGCCAGAGGCCACTTGTAATTATATCAACATTTGCATACGACATTTTCGTACGTTTGTCAGACTACAAAAAAGACCGGTTCATGAATGAAATATATTAACGTTTTTTCATGTATGGGCTCATTTTGAGCAAGATAAAAAGTGCATTAAGCAAAACTGCAATTTTATGCGTGTTTTGTTAATCGGTGGTTATTTCTTATGTTTTCCGGACGAACTTCCGGTATTTTTTGTGTCAGTTTACAGACGATGGCCAAACTTATAAAATATCCTTGTGTTGTGTCCAGCAGGTTACGTAGTTACGAGATATAGCTTGATAAAATGGCTGCGCGGAAATACATAACGCGCGGAAACAGGTGACTAGACGATACATTATAATATTAACTGAATAATATTTAAGTGTCGTCTGTGGTTTTTTAGTGGTCTTATCTGGATGTTTATATGAGTTTTTTGGGTGTTTTGGCGGGTTTTTTGGGTCTTTATGTGTGTTTTTGGGTCTTTTGGGGTAAATCGTGCCACCCAATTTCCACGTCCCTGTGCTAATGTCTCGCAATATCACCCAATGAAATTGCAGCATTTGATACTCTGCTGTAGTTCATGCGAGGCACATGACTTCCGATGTCAACATGGACTCGAGTGCCTACGTTATCAGTATACTAGTACTTTGGATGGTGATAAGCCTATCATCACCTGTATTATCAGCTGCAGAACCTTGTATAAAGACGGGACCATGTACCTGTGTAACAAAACAATTTACTGTTGATTTGACTCCTTTGTCCACACCGACACCAAGGTACGACGTTAGATAAATATTTCCGAGTTGGCCTAAACTGAAAGTGTAACGTTGAGCATGTACAGTTTCCTTGTAATACAATGCATCAACGTATGAATCTAAAACTGTATTGATTAGATGCTTCAAGCTGCAATACAGTTTCTCAATTGCGTATTGGTAGGCTTATTAACGCTGACAAAAGTACTAGACGCAACTTGGTTTTCGGACAGGCTACCGTGTTCTAGTTTTTGACACGCTTGCAGCCCTAATCGATCTTAGTTTTATCAAATAAAGTGTACATGAACATCAGTAACATGGCTTTCACTATAAACTGGGATTATTGTCAGGGAAGCAAAAACGTCAAAGCCACAATCAGTTATTTTAGTTACGTTTTATTGAGTTGGATTTGAATGGGTTTCATAGGTAAACACTGGTAAAAGGATACTGTACAACTTTATCAGGAAACTCAAGGTCTGTTACACTACATGCTACATTATATAATGGATCATTGTGCTCTGGTAAATTTGTATGCCACACTGTCCTACGTCTAGTATTGGGGTCATATGGAACTTGGCCTTTTCTACAGTCATTGAGTGGTGCCAATATTGACTACAGTTACCCTGGTTTTAAGGGTTCCCGGTTGTTTCGCCCAAAATCCCGTTTGCCCTAGGTTGTTTCAAGCTAGGTTGTTTCGCCCTATAAATAAAAATTTAGGGCGAAGCAATGTTTGGTATTTTCTTTCAATTTTAGTAGTTTTAAGTCACAAATTAAGTCTTCTTAGTTTTCCATTAAATTAAAGGGGCTGGTAGTGGAAAAAAATACAAAATAAATGGGTCTAAATGCGTTCTCTGGCCTTCCAATAGTTATACCACAGCAATATGATGGTCGAGTTCTGCTTGCAATGTCCAGTTTTGACCACTGAAATCTCTGGGAAGCCCTGCGTAAATTTAGCGCAGATCTATTAAAATATGTCACGTGGTTGTTTCGAAAGTGAGGCAGTGAAGATAACAACAATAGCATGCCGTCATGTGCCATGTCGGAATCAACTAGCGGACAAGACAGCAATACTATACGTAAATAATTGTTTACAAAGGTCATGTATGATGCAAGTGTTGTATTCCTGCCTATATGTTGTTGTTATATATAATGGTATTGATACCTCGTGCCTGTCATGACTTTTGCATGCATCTTTTTCTTTCGTCGCGATGTTTACATTTGGCTTTGTTGATGACGCGCGTGCGGTAAAATTACATCACTGATCTGGGTCAATTGAATTTTAGACTGTCAGGTGACGATTTAGGATTTCTTTATTATAATAATATTTTTTACTTTTAGGGAGTGAATTTCAGCAAAATTTGAATCGGTATATTTCATAAGAAGGTTTTTTTAAACAGGTGTATGCCATTTTAGCAAATATGCCATTTTTTCCTTAACCAGCCCCTTTAAAATAAATTTTATAAAAAGAAATGTGTTTGTGTTGTTTTTAAGCGAGTGTGACAAACGGCAGCTGTGAAAAGCAGAAGTGACTCCACACTTGCACAGTTGCATGTTTTTCTACATGAAATACATCTAACAGCAATATAGAAAGTTATCAATAAGTTTAGTTAATATATTTAAATATCAATTATTATAATAGCGTATAAATTAACAATTTTGTTTAGGGTGAAACAACCTAGGGCGAATGGGATTTAGGGCGAAACAACCCTTAGCGCGAACATGATTAAGGGCGAAACAACCCATTACCGTTTTAAGTGTGTTTTGTTGGCAAACAGGTACTAGCCTGATATGATTGTAGCAGTTTGTGAATAGTGGATGTTCAGGTAACCACTCCAGGGTTACGTAGACTAAGCTTAACTAACATGTCTGACTGTAACAAAAGGAAACAACGCTGTAATTATGTACAGTACAAATTTATTTACACAAAATACCCTTTGAGATGACCCCCGACGTATACAACAAGCAATACACACAATAGACATACCGGCTAAACTTGAACCTGTGAGTCAACAGAGGCCGCTGAAAGAAACTGAAACATAATTTTGGTAACCCAGGCCGAATGTACATGTATGTATTTGACTTACTGGAATGTTGTGCCAGGGCAGTGTCCTTGAGTTCTGGTTAGTTCCCAGTCCAAAACTTCCGCCAGAACTAGCGAAACTCCCACGCATTCCCTTAAGTACTGGAACTAGGCCCGCTGTCCGACCCTGGAACCACCTAGTTTGACCCAGGTCCGACTTGTTTGACCAGTCCAAACCATGAACCTTTTCAAAATCTCAGGATATCTGCCACCATGCCAAAAATAGCACAGGGGAATTCTCAATAAACAAACTACCGTTAGACGGCATATAGATATATGAACGCTACAATATAACCGTCTCACAAGACAGGACAGAGTATACCTAGCAGGAATAAACATGTTCCTGCTCCATTATGAACCGTTATGATGGTTTATATCCTGTGGTTGGCAGGGGATATGTCCCAGGAATACTACAATATTGCAGGTTCTAGCATTTTATGTTAAAGTGAGCAAGGCACAGAAGTAGTACTATTGTCTATATGTACAGTGTTAAAGTAATTAGAAATTAGTTATGCTGGAATGAACTGGAAAGTTCAGTTTTTAAGTTATATTTTATATTTACAGTGTACTAGTATATTTATTTTACAACAAGTACAAAACAAGTTATCTCACGCTGTATTAATCACTAGTGCTCTTGTTGTCAATACAATTCCAGGAGAGGTAGATATTAAATTTCAGCTCACCTGCAGCTGGCAAAAAGTGCCTTTGAGCTCGTCAACGGATAAAGGCGAACGCCTTCTCAGCTTGTTACAAGCACGAATTGCAGGGTTGGATGATTTAATTGAGAAAAGAGATACTGACAAAGAGTTAAGAGACGAAAACAATGAACAATTTGTGCAAAGTATGCGAAATTCAAACACACAAGAAAACCGAGTCCCACATTAGCCAGTAGGTTGATCAGATCAATTCTCACAAATGTTTTCACTGTTTTGATTTTTGATTTATTAACAAAAAGGCATATTAAAAAAAGTTAATGATATAACCATTTTGATATCATGCCCTTATCAGCCCCAGTGTCCTGATATCAGCTAGAGGGACGGAAGGCCATATGATAACTACAAACAGAACACAATACATCTCCAGCACACACGCAGGGATACACACATAGGAGATATTAGCCAGGTGGTATAGGACTAGTAGTTAGCGTCATGGAGATATTAGCCAGGTGGCATATGACTAGTAGTTAGCGTCTGATAAGGCAGCTCCTGTGAATTCCTCAAAAATTATATATCCTAATTGTATATCTATGTACTGTAAAGCGCTTTAGATAGGGCGCTATATCAAATGTTGTATTTTATTATTATTATAACAAAATAGTCATATTATAACCTCTAGGTAATGACAGAGATCCAACTGTATAACCATATATGTGCATTAACATATTTTAGATCACAACCCTATTTGTTATGAAGCAATTTCTTTCATATGTAAATATTTGCAATGCTATGTTTATTTTGAGGATAATTTGCCACAATGGCTTAATTATAGATATCCAGGTGAGTGATAAAGGCCATGAGTCTTAGGCGTCTTGCTTTTTCTTCAGAATCCTTCAAATGTTTTTCCTTTTTTGTAATATTGCAGATTTCAGGCCAATGATGATAAATACACCTATATATACAGTCCATGTATACCTACCGGACAAAAGTGTGGAGAGAGCACAGTGACAGATATTGCTGTAAGTGTTAAACCAAATCATCTGAGCAAGGTCATGTTACTTGCATTGCAATAGTCTTTTATCTTCAATAAGGCTCATCAGTTTGGAAATATATAATATCAAAGTTTAACTTTATACACAAACAATGTATATTCAAAGTGTCGCAGCGTTTCAAGGCCGTCTGGTCCTTTTGTCAACCTTATAATGACTGAGTGAGCGATTTGTATTGCTAACCTGTATAACGATGTGATGAAATCCTACACTTTACCGCTATATGTCGCTCAAAATCATTCTGCCTATCAATAGAGAGTGTATAGGTAGAATATCATTATAAACTAGTATAAGTTTAATATGTACATTCTACATACTTAATGACTATATTTCACACACGATCGATTACAAAACATTTGGCCTATTATTATTAATAGAGTGTTTGGTTTGTTTGGTTTTATTAGCTCACCTGGTCGAAAGGACCATGGTGAGCTTATGCCATACCACATACAGCATCTGTCGTCTTTCCGTCAATTTTTCCTTTAAAATGCTATTAGTCCTGAACTGCTCAGTAGATTATGACTAAATTTGGTCTGGAGCACCCCTAGGCCAAGGGGACTCAATTTTCTATAAATGGTGGACATGCCCCCCTGGGGCAGATGAGCGGGGCCCAATAGGGGAAATAGAGGTAATACCTTTAAAATCCTTCTCCTACCATAGTGATTAAGATATTTTATCCCAAATTGGTCTGGATCGTCCTTGGGCCAAAGGGAACCAATCTGTATAAATGGTGGGTGTGCAGTGGCTCCCCTGGGGGCAGAGGATGGAACCCAAAAAGGGAAATGGAGGTATATACACCTTTAAAATCCTTTCATTCTAATTTAGTTTTGAGCATCTTTCTGCCAAGGGGACTCAATTTTGTATAAATGGTGGCTGTGGCCCCCCTGGGGGCAGAGGGGTGGGGTAAAATAGAGGAAATAGAGGTAAAACCTTTAAAATCCTTCTTCTATCGTAGGGATTAGGGGATTAGGGGATTTTATCCTTGTTTAGTCCGGATCATCCTTGGGCCAAGGGGACTCAATTTTGTATAAACAGTGGGTGTGGCCCCCTTTGGGGCAGAGGGGCAGAGCCAAATAATGGAAATAGAGGTAAAACCTTTAAAATCCTTCTTCTACCATAGGGATGTAAGGATTTTATCTTTATTTAGTCCGGAGCATACATTGTACTTGGGCAAAGTGGACTCAATTTTGTATAAACGGTGGGTGTGTTCCCCTTGAGGGCAGATGGGTGGGGCCGAATAGGGGAAATAGAGGTAAAACCTTTATAAAATCCTTCTTCTACCATAGAGATTAAAGTGTTTTATCCTAAATTAGTCTTGAGCATCCTTGCATCTTGGTCTTGGTGTGGCCCCCCCTGTGGACAGAGGGGCGGGACCCAATAGGGGAAACATAGCAAATTCTTCAAAATCCTTGTCCTTTTATAGGAATGACAGGATATTGTCCAAATTTGGTATGAAGTATCCTTGGGTGAAGGGGAACCACTTTTGTATAAACGGTGTGTCTGCATGGCCTGAGAGGTAATTTAGCAAATTCTTGCAAATTCTTTTTCTGTAGGAATACATGTGACAGGATTTTGTCCATATTTGGTGTAAAGCATCGTTGGGCAAAGGCGACCGTGATTTTGTATCAAAGGTGGGTCTGACCCCCCTCGGGGCAGAGGGGCAGGGCCCAATAGGGGAAACATAACAAATTCTTCTTTTCCTGTAGGAATGACAGGATTTTGTCCAATTGCATATAACCATGTAATACAAATTGTACACTACCAGCAACATCTAGCTATTCCAACTTCAATTTTACTAACATTTCCAGGTGAGCGATACATGCCCTCTGGGCCATTTGTTTTCTCTACCATTTGAGGGATTTTAGCAAAATTTGGCCTGGGACATCCTTTGGCAAATGAGACGATATTTTATAAATATGGAGGGTGTGGCCCCTCTTGTTACAGAGGGGCAAGGTCCAAAAGGGGAATTTGAGGTTTGAACCTATAAAGTCCTTCTTCAGTACCATTGGAGGGATTTTATGTAATAAGAATAGTTTCCCATGTTTGCTTTATCATGAAGATGAGCTATACAGTAAAAACTCTACTAAAGCTTCATCAGGGCAATTTTGTTAAATACATTTACCCTGAAAAAAAATTGTGGGCATATACATGTTATAGGTAGTTTGAGCGTGTGTGATCATCACTGTGATGTTATGTACCAGATGTACAATGCATAGAGACTATTGCAAAACATCCAGGAATAAAGAAAACACTTGAACCAACTACAAGAGCGTTTCCATTTTGTATTAAGGATATGAAAATAAAACATTTTAAAACACACTTATATATATATATGATGTACTGTTGATATTCCTTTCACATTCCTGCATATTTTCAGGTTTAACCCATTCATCCCTAAAGTCACCTTTGAACTGTACCAAATCAAAGACTGGGCAAGTCCATTTTGAAAATGAAGGTGTGAATGAGTTGAAAAACAAAAGAGAAGAAAGTTGATGTCTTTTTCTTTGTTTTTGTTGATAAATAGATTTGCCAAGAACTCACTACCGATCACAGTACTAATTTCATCGTGGGTACTCAGTCATCTGCCAAATTTTCTGGTAGTCCTGACAATGGATCTCTACAGATTGAGTATACAGCAACAATTCAAGGCGTACAAAGGTATGTACAATGTACTGCAGGTGCTGGACACACAAATGTATTAAATGTATACTATGATTAAAGGTACCATGCTGCTAACTTTCGCTCATTTTTGTGTCTCCTACTATGGAGGTGACTTATAGGTAATACTTTGTCGATAGCGGCGTCGGTTGCGTCATCCGAAACAAGATTTACGTGCATTTTTGGTGGAGTTATGCCCCTTTTAATGCCAAATAAGGGCATTGTGTAGTAAATGCAAGACATTTTTATTTTTTAATCAATTTGTTTCAAATTTTATACAGTAATGCTAGTAGCAATAATGTTCAACATATATTACAGGTTTTTCTGTCGAGTTTCAACTTTTCTTACTAAAAGAGCTGAGCAGGCGACACATCCACACCCATGGAATTCTTGTTTTTATCAAAAGGAACATTTTGACATTTTTCATTTTTCTTACATAGCAAAAGAAAGTTATTTCCGTTGATACATGTACTACGCTCAGGGCATGAATCATGTCAAGGATACAAAATTAAATGGAATTCAATTTTATTTTCTTACGTTCCGTGAAGATGATTCACATAGGGTCACGCATGCCCCAATTGGCCCTTACAAAATGACGATATGTCATGTCAAATTTTGGCATGCTTCTAATATCATTTTTAGCTCACCTGGCACGCAGTGCCAAGTGAGCTTATGCCGTGGTGCGGCGTCCGTCGTCCGTCTGTCGTCCGGCGTCAATATTTTACTTTAAACGACTTCTTCTAAATAACCGAAAGGCCTAGGGTGATGATATTTGACCAAAAGCAAACTGGGATGAAGGGCTACCAAGTTTGTTCAAATAAATGACCTTCATCTATTTTCAAGGTCACAGGGGTCAAATATTTTAAACACTTTAAACAACTTCTTCTCAATAACCAAACTGCCCAAGGAGATGATATTTGGTCAGTAGCATGCTAGGGTGAAGGGCTACCAAGTTTGTTCAAATGAATGACCTTCAATTATATTCAAGGTCACAGGGGTCAATTGTCTTAAAAAACCTTTAAATAACTTCTTCTGAATAACCAAAATGCCCAGGGTGATGATATTTGGCCAGTAGCAAGCTGAGATGAAGGGCTACAAAGTTTGTTCAAATGAATGACCTTCATCCATATTCAAGGTCACATGGGTCAAATATGTTAAAAACTTTAAACAACTTCTTCTCGATAACCAAAATGCCCTGGGTGATGATATTTGGCCAGTAGCATGCTAAGATGAAGGGCTACAAAGTTTGTTCAAATAAATGACCTTCTCCCATATTCAAGGTCACAGGGGTCAAATATGTTAAACGCTTTAAACAACCTCTTCTCAATAACCAAAATGCCCTGGGTGATGATATTGGGCCAGTAGCATGCTAAGATAAAGGGCTACAAAGTTTGTTCAAATGAATGACCTTCTCCTATATTCAAGGTCACAGGGGTCAAATATGTTAAACGCTTTAAACAACTTCTTCTGAATAACCAAAATGCCCAGGGTGATGATATTTGGCCAGTAGCTAGCTGAGATGAAGGGCTACAAAGTTTGTTCAAATGAATGACCTTCATCCATATTCAAGGTCACATGGGTCAAATATGTTAAAAACTTTAAACAACTTCTTCTCGATAACCAAAATGCCCTGGGTGATGATATTTGGCCAGTAGCATGCTAAGATGAAGGGCTACAAAGTTTGTTCAAATAAATGACCTTCTCCCATATTCAAGGTCACAGGGGTCAAATATGTTAAACGCTTTAAACAACCTCTTCTCAATAACCAAAATGCCCTGGGTGATGATATTGGGCCAGTAGCATGCTAAGATAAAGGGCTACAAAGTTTGTTCAAATGAATGACCTTCTCCTATATTCAAGGTCACAGGGGTCAAATATGTTAAACGCTTTAAACAACTTCTTCTGAATAACCAAAATGCCCAGGGTGATGATATTTGGCCAGTAGCTAGCTGAGATGAAGGGCTACAAAGTTTGTTCAAATGAATGACCTTCATCCATATTCAAGGTCACATGGGTCAAATATGTTAAAAACTTTAAACAACTTCTTCTCGATAACCAAAATGCCCTGGGTGATGATATTTGGCCAGTAGCATGCTAAGATGAAGGGCTACAAAGTTTGTTCAAATAAATGACCTTCTCCCATATTCAAGGTCACAGGGGTCAAATATGTTAAACGCTTTAAACAACCTCTTCTCAATAACCAAAATGCCCTGGGTGATGATATTGGGCCAGTAGCATGCTAAGATAAAGGGCTACAAAGTTTGTTCAAATGAATGACCTTCTCCTATATTCAAGGTCACAGGGGTCAAATATGTTAAACGCTTTAAACAACTTCTTCTGAATAACCAAAATGCCCAGGGTGATGATATTTGGCCAGTAGCTAGCTGAGATGAAGGGCTACAAAGTTTGTTCAAATGAATGACCTTCATCCATATTCAAGGTCACATGGGTCAAATATGTTAAAAACTTTCAACAACTTCTTCTGAATAACCAAAATGCCCTGGGTGATGATATTTGGCCAGTAGCATGCTAAGATGAAGGGCTACAAAGTTTGTTCAAATAAATGACCTTCTCCCATATTCAAGGTCACAGGGGTCAAATATGTTAAACGCTTTAAACAACCTCTTCTCAATAACCAAAATGCCCTTGGTGATGATATTGGGCCAGTAGCATGCTAAGATAAAGGGCTACAAAGTTTGTTCAAATGAATGACTTTGACTTATATTCAAGGTCACAGGGGTCAAATTTGTTTAAAAATCTTTAAACAACCTCTTATGAATAACCATGGGTCCCAGGATGTTTATACTTTGCAAGTTGCATCCTGAGATGAGTATACAATGTGTTCAACATATTGCCTTTTTCGACTTTCAATCACAGGGATGAAATGTTTTTAAAAAAATTAACAGGGTCTTTTGAACGTATTTTAATAATTAATACTGATATTTTGCCTGTAGCTTTATTTTAGATCACTTTTAAGGTTACAAGTGTGAGTTTTATACCAGGTGAGCGATGCAGGCCCATTGGGCCTCTTGTTGTAAACATTTCTTCATGAGGGAATTAAAAAGTTTTTTTAACATAATTGATCTTTATTAATTAAGATAAAACACACTTATTGTGAAAGCATTACCTCTGACCCAGTCGCATACACAGTTCTGTTTAAACATTACCTCTGACCCAGCCGCATACACAGTTCTGTTTAAACGTTACCTCTGACCCAGCCGCATACACAGTTCTGTTTAAATGTTACCTCTGACCCAGTTGAACACATAGTTGCTATTTATTGGATTCTGCTGTCTTGACATCTCCTGAAATTTGCTTATGCATAATAATAACATAAACATGGCTTCAACCCTGTGCAGGGTGAGATAAGTGGCAGTTGAGTATAACCTTCGCACTTATACCGGACATAAAATTTAATATACGTCTTTGGAATTTTGAATCTTTTCGTATCAACATGCATCTACAAATGAAAATGATTGATTTGTTCTCTAAACATTTTATCTCTGATTTGTGGTTATTTGAAGTTGCAAAAATCATGCCTACCATGCATTGCCCTTAAACTCTTGTCAGTCTGGATATTTTAAGTGATATACATTTTCATAGGTTACTATACTGGTATACGTAACATCAACATTTTATGTAGACAATCATCCTTGATGTGCTTCTAAATAACTCTTCCTCTACTTAATTATAAGACTCTTTCATGCCCAGGAGTGAAGGATAGGGAAATTCCACCCGAGGGGGTTCTCAAATTTAGTAAAACTTGATGCTTTTTGAAGGGTTTTCCTTAATTTGAAAATCCAGATCGTGGAATTTCCCTATCCTACAACCTAGGGCATGAAAGAGTATTTTTCTCTCATTATAACCAACAGGATAAGCTCAGAAACTATGAAAAAGCTTTTGGACTGAATATCATTTTGAAAATATTGTTTTTTTCCCTTATAGCTCTTTTGACGAAAACAAACAGCGAGATTTAGCATACCACGTATTTGCAAACAGAGTTTGCGCAGAAAAAATAATCTCATTTTCTATTATGTACGGTCATTGTTTCGTAAAAGATCACGTCGCCTTTTCCGCATTGCGGCATCAGAATTTTCCATTTGTGACGTCTCTTCATTGTTGAGCCATTGTGATGTCACATCATGTGAAATTGGGTGTAAGATAGAAATTTCCTTCACCACTGTCTTACCCTGAACAGCTCTATACACACAGGTACCCTGCATATGGGTAGATTGGTTAACACTCAGGCCTTCGTTGTCGTAGGCATGGAATATTCAGAGAAAGTGTTTTTCTCCTGCCCACACAACTACAACAAGCCAGGTGGAGTATAAACTGGTCTGGGGTGGATGTTGCAGTATCTGTGCTGTAGCATTCAAGTGAGGTGTCACTATAAATGATGCCGTTGGAAGCACGGTACCACTACAAACAGAACACATTACATTGAGCACCCACGCAGGCAAACACACATAGGGAGATATTAGCCAGGTGGCATAGGACTAGTAGTTAACGCCTGATAAGACAGCTCCTGCAAATTCCTCAAAATTGTATTGATTAATGAATTGTATTGATTAATGTATATGCCAATTGTATTGGTTGTACTCAAACTAGAAGATGGTTGCATATGTTTGTCAAGAGAAAACAATTTTCAATTCTAAAGGATCATTTGATTGAACAGGTTTCATTGAACATCTTCCCATGTGTGTTTTGATGCCACAAAATTTGTCTTTCAGGACTACATATATATCTGTTGTGTGCTCTGACGAGGATGGCAGTTTTTCATATCTCTCTTCGCCTAGTGATACTTCATATGTAAGTATGGGTTATATATAGATATACACTGTACAAAATGATCTGAGAGTACAGTAAATGTAATTAGGGGTATTAGGCTTAAATATAAACCTTTCAGAGAAAAACCTAACTGCACAGAATGAATCTGATTAAACATAATATGGGTTTGTCAGGTGGGTTTGTGAAACAGGCCCTGTGCTAAAATTAGGAAAACATTGTAGACATAAGAACCATATTGGGAAATTTAGATAATCATTATAACAATTAATTCTTAGGAAATGAATTAGACCCTTTGAAACTTTCAAATAATTAGTTTAGACCATCATTTTGACAAAATGATCATTCCGTCCTTTTTACATATTCTACAATTTGGGAATTCATTTAATTGGTAGGATTTATTCAAATTAAAGCTTTTAGTATTTTTGCTTCCCCAATGAGGAATTTTAAAGCGGCATATTGGGATAAATCACACACTTTTTGTATTGAGAATGGGTCCTTGAAACAGACCCTAAATTACGCGGATATGCCCCTGCGTGTTGTCAATATCATGATTAATAAAATCTATTACCTGTGACTGAGCGAGATTGAGTTATCTCGGTCGAGGGTTAAGATTCTGTAACAAAATCCCAACCGAGGTGTAAGCCGAGGTTGGGATGATACAGAATCTTAGCCTGAGACTATGATTCTGATATTGAAAAAGAGTTAAATACTGAACAATAATAATAAATTACACATTGCCGGAATCAACCCAAAATGCAACAGGAAACACACATATTTTGTATAGACTGAAAAAGATATAATTCTGAATTAAAACAATCACTCATTTCACACGAAGATAATTTTAAGCACAAATTTAGAATCTACTCAGATTCAATATATATATATGTAGCTAATTATGGTAGACATATCCCTATAAACCTACAAGTCAAATCAAATTAAGGGGAGTCAAAAACATACTCTCGAGGGTCTACTACATGCCCCGATGAGGAGGCATTAGGCAGTACATTAGCAAAGAACCAATTACATAAATGTGAACATTACAGTGATGACAATCACTCTTGGTAACAAAAGCATCAGTGCAAGCATTTTTATCACATAGATATGACACTGGCTATATATATATATAGCTACCATGTACTTTACATGGCAAACAAACAAAAAAACATTGGATAGGGTCAGACGGGCGTATTGTGCATCCGTTTGCGGTGCTCTTGTTGGCAGTGGTACAGGGATCCTCACGGCTGTTATTCAATGGTTTAATAGTTTAAGTATAATAGAGATGAAAATTTCACATTGTAATGTTGTTAATTTAATTGATTAGCAAAATTAGTTCATAAATTGTTGATTTATCTTTCAGAAATTACAGTTGAAAACCAAATATGCATGCCTACCGTGTGGGTTAAGTGCTGGATCTGTGCTGCTAATTATGTAAGTAGCTAAGCATGATGGTTAGAAAGGAAATGGTTATCCCACTCCATTTTAAGCTCCCTTGCCCATATGGGAATTTAAGCGAATTTGGTCCAGAGCATCCTAAGGCAAAGGGGACCCAATTGTCATATTCCAGGAGTGCACAGAGCAAAATTGAGTGTAACCCTTGGAGTATCGAGGATGGGGCCCACATGGGGGCAAAGGGGCGGGGGCCAAAAGGGAAACAAAGTAATAAACGTTCGAAATCCTTCTCCTTCAGTTTGATTGGAGGGATTTAACCAAAGTTTGTGTAGAGCATTCTTACAATTTTGTAGAAATGGAGGGATGCTCTCGGGGATGGGGGGGATATGGGGAATTGAGGTAAATGTTTAAAGATCGACCCCAATTCATGGGTGAAGAAAGACGGTACCCAGTTAGGGAAAGGCGTTCCTGAGGTGGGCAATACAGGCCCTCTAGGCATCTTGTATATTTTTAGTCTGAGGACTTGTGATATCAGTACATTTCCATGTGCCCTGTGACAGTTGCCACTCTGAATTTTTACATTTTTATGTGACTTGTGTGCTAGTTCAGTTTATAATTACAACCCTCCAGCTTTCTCATCTTAGGCTCGGGACTTCACATTTAATGGGGGAGACTTCTACGGCTTATAATGACTTAAGAGAAAAGTAATGTACCTTCACTGCGGAAAAATAATGAAGTAAAGTGTCATGTTTGTGACCAAATGCATGAATCCTCTGCATTTAAAGAAAAGATGAAGGTTGGCACCAGCTGGTATAAACCGCTTGCAGTTTTATGCAAAATAAACACTTCCTGTTTCTTTGGCATATATTGTATAACTCCAAAACAAATCCTGTTATTTGTTTCCTGAATACATCCCGTCAGTAACATTCATTTTGTGACAAGCAACTGGAAAATGTGGGTTTTGTCATGTGTTGAATGTTGTTTTACAATTTGATGTGTTTTTAATATATTTTTTTTATCAGCGGTATAATCTAATCTGTTGTGTAAAAGCAGTAAAAATGTTGCTGAAACTCTTGTAGAAATGTTGAAATCAACTTCGGAAAAATAAATAACACATCGGAAAATGAAATCAAAGTTATTTTCCATGGAAGGTATTAATTAAGGTGTACTTAAAAATAAAGTGGAATTCTATAAAAGAAAAACTGCAAGTCCCAAATCTTAATGATTGTGTTTGTTTCAACAGATTCTTTGTGTTGCTTATTGTGTACATCATTGGAGGAATACTGTTCATGCGATACGTGAGAAAAGCCCAGGGGATAGAAATGATTCCAAACCGGGAAATGTGGATGGAGTTACCTCTCTTGATCAAGGTAGAACTCTTCTTTCATAAGATCTTTGGCCTACGGCTACAAGGCGAAAAAAGAGGAATACTACTATGAAAGGCAGTAAAGCTTAAATCACTTATAAATGAAGTTTATTGAGAAGAAACCACTGTTAAATTTACCATTTGGGATACTATGTTCAAAGTCTGGTTAGCATACTATACAGAACTTTAGCATATTTAGTACAATGTTGAAATTGATAACCAAAGAATGTAAATGATTTCAAAAAAATAATTTGTAGACAAGAGACACATGATATTTGTATACTTTTCAGATATTTCTTTCTCTTGTATCATTGTTAAAAGTACTGTTTTATTTTGAAAACAATAACATTGAGAGATATTAATTACAATCTGTTAGAGGTTCTAGCCAATATTAAATTTCCACTTATGTATACCTTTTGTACAATATTGATGACAATAATGATAAACCATTTCTTATGCTTGTATATTTGACCCTGACGTTAAACATTGTGTTTGTATTTTCAACAGGACGGAATATTGTTTGTTTCACGAGGATGCAAGACAGACTCGTCATATTCCCAGATTTGATGAGTCTTAGGACATGGCGGTACGAAGGATACATAATTACTGGTTAAGTTTGTGATAAATTGTACCAATTGGTTATTGGTATTGCCTTTGGGCATGTGTTTAAATATGTTAGGTCATCCATTTTAAGGCCAAAGACCAAGAACAAGTTTTATAGGGAGATGTTTAGTATCAGGAATAAACAAATTTGGCTAATGGGATGAATTTTTACTGAAAAGAATAGGGATGCCTTCTTTCTTCAAAAATCACATCTGTTTTGGTCATTAACTGCTATAGAACAAATACTAGTTTCTCTGTATGTTTTTTTGTGTCTTCAGCAATGTCAAAGGTTCCTATTTCAAAATGTTAAGTTAAAATCATTTGGCTGGTGGGATGAATTTTTACTGAAAAGAATAGGGATGCCTTCTTTCTTCAAAAATCTCATCTGTTTTGGTCATTAACTGCTATAGAACAAATACTAGTTTCTCTGTATATATTTTTATGTGTCTTCAGCAATGTCTAAGGTTCCTATTTCAAAAATTTAAGTTAAAATCATAAGTTGAACAAAGGAAAACATACGTTTTGACAAGTTCTAAAGAATATCACTCTATGTAGACAATTTTCAGGCTCCTGCCTTTCTTTCAGTCTCAATGAGGAATATTTAATTTTTGTCACATCGGTTATTTAATGATTCTTATAAGTAGTTGTGTATGTAGCCATTCAAAACTTAAACAAGAAAGTAGAGCCAATGTCAGTACTAAATTTAGCAGGTTATTCTGTGGGACGCTACATTTAAGCAAGGATACCTGAGGTACACAGGGCGTCATCCTCGATAATCCTGGGGTTACGCTCACTTCACTCTCTACACCCCTGGAATATGTCCTAGCAACATTGATGGCTCAGAGTTGGCCACAATGCAGATGAGGCAAGAAGACGTGTTTAATCCTTTGATGTACATCAAAAGAATCTTGGGTAGGCATTATGATTAAATTGGCTGGCTTTGAAGTTGGGGTCGCTACTTTGAATCTTCAAAGGACAAGTATCAGCCTAGCGATTGGTCTGATATTTTTAATCGAGACCAATCAAATAGCTAGTCATGTGCCTTCAATTCTACTGAGTAAGTGTGTATTTTTATGTGAAACCTTATAACGATTGAATTTTCAAGAAAATGAGAAATTGAATGTATACAATGTCATCATTAGTGAATTTCAAACGAAGTGCATTTTGAGTAGGTGTGTATTTTGTGTGGAAGCTTATATGTAAAAAAAATCTAGGAAATGAGAATTTTATGAAAAGAGTAGCTGAAGTGAGAAAGTAGAAATGTATATGACGATGAAAATGATATCAAATTTGTTCATGTATGTTTATACATTGTATAAGCATTGCGATAAAATAATGCTTTTGAAATTATTTCATGTCAAATTTAACATCGTTTTTTTGTGTAATTGACTTTTGTAATATAAGTGGCTCACAAAAATAGCTCAATGAGAAAGAAATTAATTTTATAACAATGGGTATACATCTAGCGAGGATATCTTCAATTCTTAAAACGTCATGTTTGGCATGAAGTTATATTTAAATTAAAATGATATATTATTTTACATCAATTATGAAACAAGTTCTATCAACTTTTATTTATCACCCTTGTTGTAATTGGTTTGGATGATAGTGTGCAAAAGGGTTTATATGTGGGAAGAAACCAGAATACGCGGAGAAAACCCATGTGGTCAGGCAGATGACCCCTGAAACCTTCTCAAGTTTGATTGGGGAACCAAACTCTGACCACCTTGGTGAAAGGCAAGTTCACTATCCAATGCGCCACCTGACCATGGTTACATTTGCATGGCATTACCATTACAATCAAGCCTCGTTATTCCTGCATCCACAAAGCTGGACATCTCACACATCCAGCTTCAAAGTTAACCACTTAATCCATCCAACAATCACTTCAAAATCTGTGGTTTTCCAACCTTTCCACTAGTGTTTTAGTGGACATAGTATCTTTTTCTTTAAAAACTGTCCATGTAATTGTGCCATGTCACAATCGAGGAAGGTGGCTTGATAACAAGGGTCTGCTGTATAAAAACCAGCCAAATTGCAATGGCTAACATACATGTAATACCAAAGCCAAATTATGAATATCATTATTGTGATGACACTGTTGCCTTGTCCTATAAATATACTACAGAAAGTTCCTGGCAGATTGAAAGATACAGGATACTTATTTTCTTACCGAAATTGGTAAAACCCGAGGGTCCGCCGAGAAAAATAGAAAAGATTTTGAGGACTAATATTTTATGCTGTCGCCATTTTTGGAAGGTGGGGGTATATAGTGCTAGCCATATGGTTCCTTTCTAACTGGATGTAAGGATTTGAACCAAATTACATCATTTCCAAAAAAATACATAATGTAGAAAAATATTCTTATATATTTGTCATAATGAATGAGTTGGATTACATTGTTTATGCTCTCGGAGTCATATATTCAAATGTGTGGAAACAAAATTTAATACTGTATACCGAGAAATGTTTGCTGCAGTTTAATTTTCACCTTTTCACTTCCGCAATGAAGACAAATTACTTATTACAGCAAACACTAGTAAGTGATATAACAAAGATAGTAATCAAATGTGAAGGTCAAAGTAATCAAATGTGAACGACAAAGTAATCAAATGTGAAGGACAAAGTAATCAAATGTGAAGGACAAAGTTAATATTGGACGGAAGTGAATTTTATTGGTCTGGAACAAAAATTTGAATGGGCCAAAGTTTTTGGGTATACGGTAATTCTGAAAGAAGCCTTATATCAGTATTTAAAATGAATTAATGAGAACACATCATTTACGCCATTAGAGCCTTTTTAGGTCACCTGAGCTTTGCTCAAGTGACCTATTCTAATCGCTATCCGTCCGTCGTCGTCCGTCGTGCGTAAACTTTTTACATTTTCAACTTCTTCTCAAGAACCAGTGGATGGATCTTTTTCAAACTTAGTCAGAATCATGTTTGGTAGATGAGGCTACAAAATTGTAAAATTGGGATTTCTACCCCAACCCCTGGGGCCAGGGCCGGGCCCCAAAGGGAAAATTAACCAATATTTCAAAAATCTTCTTCTCCAGACTCAGAGGTACTACATTCATTTTCTCTGCATGGAAAGAAAATCACCAGGGGCTTTATTTAAATCGTAAATTTCAGAACCCCCGAGCTGTTTGTTCCCCCTTGGGGAGGGGATAAAGTTTACTATAGTTTATATAGGTAAAATAACACTTTTGGGTATATATTTTATCCATTTTCCGCAGAAAATTACTCAAACTTAGTCAGAATCATCTTTGGTGAATGAGAGTATTACTTTGTAAAATTGAGATTCCTACCCCAACCCCTGGGGCCAGGGCGGGGCCCCAAAGGGAAAATTAACCAATATTTCAAAAATCTTCTTCTCCAGACTCAGAGGTACTACACTCATTTTCTCTGCATGGAAAGAAAGATCATCAGGGGCTTTACTTAAATTGTAAATTTCAGGACCCCCAAGCTATCCGTTCTCCCTTGGGGAGGGGGTAAAGTTTACTATAGTTTATATAGGGAAATAACACTTTTGGGTATATTTTGACAACTTTCTGTAGGAAATTATTTTTACTTGGTGAGAATTATCCTTGGAGGAAGATGGTTTCAAATTGTAAAATTAAGATTCCTACCCCAACCCCTGGGGCCAGGGCCGGGCCCCAAAGGAAAAATTAACCAATATTTCAAAAATCTTCTTCTCCAGACTCAGAGGTACTACATTCATTTTCTCCGCATGGAAAGAAAATCACCAGGGGCTTTATTTAAATCGTAAATTTCAGAATCCCCGAGCTATTTGTTCCCCCTTGGGGAGGGGGTAAAGTTTACTATAGTTTATATAGGTGAAGTAACACTTTTGGGTATATATTTTATCCATTTTCAGCAGAAAATTATTACTTGGTGAGAATTATCCTTGGAGGTAGATGGTTTCAAATTGTAAAATTGAGATTCCTACCCCGACCCCTGGGGCCAGGGCGGGGCCCCAAAGGGAAAATTAATCAATATTTCAAAAATCTTCTTCTCCAGACTCAGAGGTACTACAGTGATTTTCTCTACGTGGAAAGAAAGATCATCAGGGGCTTTACTTAAATTGTAAATTTCAGGACCCCCGAGCTATCCGTTCTCCCTTGGGGAGGGGGTAAAGTTTACTATAGTTTATATAGGGAAATAACACTTTTGGGTATATATTTTATCCATTTTCAGCAGAAAATTACTCAAACTTAGTCAGAATCATCTTTGGTGAATGAGAGTATTACTTTGTAAAATTGGGATTCCTGCCCCATCCCCAGGGGCTAGGGCGGGGCCCCAAAGGGAACATTTACCAATATTTTCAAATTCTTATCCTTTGATGACATGACAAGTATTGTATTTCACTTAGTTTACATGCTGATTTCCACATCACATCTAAACAATAAAATAAAGCTACCAGTACCTATGATATAACTCAGGTGACCGCTAAGGCCCTTGGGCCTCTTGTATAAATATGCTTTCTACTTTTTGACTTTTGTGAAATTTTCAAATTTGCTTAAAAATTCTATTTGTGTTTTTAACACTTACTATATCTGTAAATGTATCTTACAAGACTAGATCTGTTGTGTTATTTTTTTTAAGTATCGTTTGATTCTGGCAACTAACGACATAGTTAGGTTGATTTCAAGGAAACAAGCCTGCATTTTTATTATGTAGACAACACCCATTGACAATTAATTAAACTAGCCCGGAAATACTTTTCCATCCGTACGTAAGAGATGGATGTTTTGCTGCAAATTATTATCCTGTTGTTTAGACAAGATTTCTACATCCACTTCAGCCAACATTGGAATTAGGTACTGATATTAACCAACGAAAAAACACCTGGGGTTATGCGTTCGATTTTTAATGTGGAATGCTTTGTAATGACAGCTCAGCGTAAGAAACTGCATGCTTGTATAGATCTGGAAATCACTAGTAGTACATGGGAGATCATATCGATGTCTTGTATCGCTTGGGCTAACAAGGTTTCTATAACTCAACTATGTTAGTCCCAAAGGAAGTAGGATCTTTATTTTGATAATTAGAATGCATGATCTGACTGCACTAGGAGTAGAGATCTATAACGTACTGTGTATAGTTTGAGATTTGCTGGTATGGATGTTTTCAAAGAATTACATTCAGAAAGTTTTAAAGGTATTTTGTAGAAGTATGTTTTATGTAAATTCTTTATTTCTCACTGCATCCTTATTGATATCATGTAGATATCATCATGATCTGCTCAGGAAATGTTTACATGTGTAGGTGTGGAAATCCTTATTTGTGTTTGTAAAAGTCTTTACATCCATTAAACATCCCTTTACTAAATTTGTAATGGATCTCTGTTTCAGCATGTATTATTTTTGCTTATGTCATTGTCACTTAACTGAGGAATTAGCCATCATTGAGATTCTGTATAGCATCAGTATTTAATTTAGCGGTTAACCGATTGCAAGGGCATGCACACGTAATCATGATTTTCATATGATTGCATGTATTGGTAGAGGATACTAGTTTAAAATCAAACCTTACCATTTAAGTATACTGGAGTACAATGTGTTTTAGAATATGAATGAATCTTATCAGCGAGTTTTAGCTTACCTGACACGAAGGTGATTTGTGCGTCGTCCATCAATTGTTTCTTTGAACAAACACTTCTTAAGAACTTGAGGACCTAGGGCAATGGTATTTGACCAGTAGGTACATGTACCTGTGATGGAATGCTATAAAGTTTCTTTAAATAATGATTTTTACCTGATTTGATGGTCATAGGCCCGGGGTCAAATATGTAAAAACCTTTAACCAACTTCTTACCTGTCCGAGGGAGTAAAAACTTGGATATAAAAATATGGGTTCAATAAAATATATTGCTTATTGTAATTATAGTAAAGGCTTTATTTATTCTTAATAACATATTGAGCATGAAGATCACCTTACATATGGTCAAGATACAGTGTATGATAAAATGTACAATATTTACAGCTGTATATACTGTAGATACTATATATTGAAGTGCGTCAATATTTCAAAGTGTTTTGTTGAATAACAGGTAATGTCTTCAGTTTTCTACACAGGGAAGATTATATAAGAGGTAAATATGATATTATATAAATGCATTTGTTCTTTGGGGTTTGATAGGAGAATTATTTATTCATTAGTTTTAACTATTATACTTTTAGTTGAACTGTTTTTATCCAGATTATATCCATTGCTTAACTTGAAGTGTTGTGCTTGTTTCCTGATTTGTTTCTCGAATTATTTTCAACAGATATAATGTCATAAAGAGTGTGTATGATAAAATATAGTTTCATATGTATGCAATGTAATTGTTAATCATCAATGCTAATTAACAAATAACACATATTCAAATATACAAATGACATTCAAATTGTGTACGTATGGTTATGTTTGATGTGTAACTACTTTCCTAGTGTCCACTGATATAACTATAAGCTATTGTCATGCCGGTTAAAAGTTTCAAATTTGCTGTTTTCATTTAGCAATGGTATTGGGATCCTTAACAACATTCATATTTGTACATACATTATATACCTGTGATTTTTGTAGATTTCTTCCAGACGATTCCTGAACATTATGTAAAAACAAATCCCATTACATGTACCTAGAGACAAAATCGTTTCCCAAAATCTGAATGATTTCCATGGGAAAAAGCACGAGTCCATGAACCAAATAACTGTCATACAAGTCATTGCATATATTATGTGCATTGAATTCATTGTTGAAATACAATGAGTATTTTATTCTTGAAAGATCAAAGAAGTATTTACAATTTTGTTATCCTGAAACATTCCATTTTAGAAAAGTGTGATAATATATCAAGTGAAACCTCCATTTAAGACATGTTTTGTCCTCATTTTTGCAGTTTTGATAAAGAGGAATTATTGTTGATAAAAATGCGTAAGAAATTATGAACTACATTGCTTATATTTGAAAGAGTTAGAAGCTTTTCGTCGTTCTGATGTAGATGTGAGAAAACACATCCGAATAATTACAATAAGATTTGCATATTTTAATTAATTTTATGTGATTTTAATTTCATTACTATGCAGGCAATACGCACACTTTGGTACCAAATGTTAAAAGTACTCTGATGTTTTTATTTATGTCATGCACTGTTGATCTTTGTTTTATCCATAAATCTCGAGCTTCACTATTATTTGTGTTGTTTATTGACCACAGTGTGTAGATTACGCAGCTACAGAGTGTGTACAAAAGCAACTACAACCTTTAAAATTGTCCATATGAAAATGGTTTTGCTTTCGTGGACAGAAAATCAATTATATTGCGAGTGCTCAAATCTGAAACTAAGATTATTCGATGCGAATCAAATTATTTAGACTATGGTTGTGATAAATACACGTGTTGTTTGTAATCACGGGTGTCGTTCGCCTCAGGAACACAACAAAACGTCGACGGGAATCTAAAACTTCCTATAATCATGAAATTCCAAAATCTATTTGTTTTATTATACCGTAACTAGCCACCAGACATATTTTTATGAAAATCGGTACTCCAAGTTACATATTTAGGCATATGTAACTTGTCCTGAGACCTGTAGTGTTTTTTCCATATGCATTTTGTTATATTTATTACAATTTCAACATGAATATCACTTGAGATAATTTGTTTCCTAAATACAACTACTGTCGACTTCTTTCATCTTTTGATTAGTTTGTAATCACGTCTTAGTGTGATAATTTGTTTATACCAAAATATAAATTTGTTTCTGTGATGGTACTGTTATAATACAAGTATATAGATTTTTCTGACCAGGGACACCATTTACATCGTTATATAATTCAACTTTGGTAGTTTTGATTTAAACATGTTTCTTTTCTTCATTTACTGAGCAGTTAACTCGGAGAACTGACGTTAGCTATTTATAGCTCACAGAACTTCTAGTAATTCTTCAATTTATTCTAAACGTACAATTCGTGATATTTTATTGGTTGTAATGAGTTTAATGGTTATAAGGAAAAATATTTTATGGATCATCAAATATAATATCAAATATACAGATTGAGTTATATAAATTGAGATGTTATTGTAACTTATAATAAATATTTTTGTATCGAGAGTGTTTTGTTTCTGTGTGTTGCTTGTATGCGTGTGTATTTATGTTCATCATTAATTCATAATTGCTGAGCCTATTGATTTATTTTCCCTCGCTGTTTTCGTACAGCTCGGGGTAAATTGATATCCTCTCTCTGTCCGTTTATCCGTCCTTCCATCATGATTTCATTATTGAACAGTTACCTCCGTAATGTTGATGTGTTTCGATCAGTCTATTTGCTTGCACAATAGCTATACTCTGGCTAAGCTACATAAGATAAATTCATATTCAAATTTATATTATTATAAAAGATTATTGGTACTTAATTTAATTGTGAGACGCCTTCCGGAAAAAAAATAATTCCCTTATTATTGATGGGTTTTCAGTGACAACTTTCAATGTCTGAATAATTGCAACGCTCAAACCAGGTCAGGAGGAAATTATAAGCGATGCCTTAAAATATTCAATGATGTTATGAATACTTTCACCATTCTGATCGATCAATGAATTCCATACATTTGATGTAATTCACAAAAATGTAGTTACATCATGTGGCGTCTTAAGTAATCGATATATCTAATCAGTCTAAGGTTTCATATAGTGGTACGGTATATACATGAATTGTATAAGGATATTAATCTCTTTACTTTCCACAATTTGATCATACTGTGAGATAGCCAAAGTAAACCACAACTGCTTTAACAAATAAAGAAGTAATTAAACAGGTTGATTTTTCACCTTTTAAAGCTACTAGTAAGTTAATTCCTTATTGAAAATTGGAAGCTATTCCATGAAGTTCTGTTACCTTTATGAAACACCTGTTTCTATATGGTCTTGGGGTATGCAGCAACGATTCTACTTATGACCTTAGTGACCATGACATTTGTAGTGAGGAGCTCTTCAATCTAGTGTCCTTTTGTGTTTACATCAGACTTGTGTACTGGGATCAGGTATGATATGCTCGTACCTGTGAGTATGAGTAATAGATCGAACAGCAGTATTCCGAACCGTAGGAAGACAACGGAGATACCATATACAGTGCATCGCTGTAGTTAATGCGAGAGGTTACCAGCGAATGTATCGAGGTTTTGCGTGTGTATAGTGTACAAAAATACAAAATACATTAATTTTTATTGTACCTGTTTCGTACACATCGCCGACGGAATTGCCGTAATAGCATTGTCGCCAACCGTAAGCTGCAATTATTGTGTACAATTATAAAGGTACTTCAGTGTGAAAACCAAGAATTATCTTTGATCCTCAGTCAACTTCAGAATACTGGGTGGATCCAAGAACTGATGCAAGACAAACATCTTCAAAACTTGCTCCTAATGTATATATCGCTTTTCTGATAACCGTACACATCTCTGTGACTTACAGGAAAGCATACAGTAGAATAGCTTACATTAGGTAATGCCGACGAAGAAGCATATACCAGCCTGTTTGTAATACAGAAATACTTGCCTGGACCTTGCATTGATCCAAGAGGAATCTCAATCTTTGATTGTTTTTATCGTTAGATGTGATTATTCATATATGGCAAGATCGCGTCTTTTGTCACCAAATAGGACTGGATCAAGCACAGACAGCGTCTGAAGTACATGTTACTGCACTGGAGCGAATCAGACGTTTGAAAAGTGTTTCTCCCAGAACCAGAGGGTGTGTCCTCATTCCCGACTCATTGGATAAACCTGCTAGGAGTTGGTAAACATTCCAGGTAGTGGATAACACCCTTGACGGGCCCAAAATAGTGATGGTTGATTATCGTGTCGTTATACAGTATGAAATTTAAATAAGTAGAATAAGATAAACATGATAATTAACTATCATTTATTTGGGGAATCTCGATGAGATGGTCAACGCCATCGAAGGCGTCGGATAGGTCAAATAGAACTAGCCGACAACCCACAATAGACACTAATTGATAGAACAGATCAATCGAAAAGGTAAGAATTCCACAATTATTAAAAGAGCTATGGCGGGTTGCTATGCCTTTTTCCCCAAAGCTATGATCCGCTATAGTGCGCGCTTCCAACCGTGCACTGTTGTGACGCGTCCTCGGGTATTTCTATACAGGTAGCTCTATCGGAACCCGTGTCTAAGAATAGATTATTTTAAACAGACGAATTCAAGGCCATGGCTACTAATACATGCGTTTCACGATAAAGACTCAACAAAATGCGTATTTCGCGTTGTGCTGTATAAAACACAAGATCATACAATCATTACCAACAGTTTGAAAGGATTTAGTTTTCATTACTACTGCCTACGTCATGCCGTTACATGTTTTCTTAAAAACACACATCTTGATTTTGTTCTTCCTTTACCTTGGAATGAGACTGGCCTCGACGATGAATTTTCCCGCATGTTCGGTAATATCTTTGCGATAATAACACTTCATTTTTTTTGCTTTGCCTTTTATTTTCACTTCTAACGCAACAATCCCATATATTTTGTATTTCGGCATCGTTTGTTTGCGTTAAGATAATAAATCAAAATACTAGTGCCAATTGGAGGGTAAAACAATTCAGAAATATTTAAAACGATGTCTCAACTAAAAAGCGTAGCTGTAATGTACACACATACAGGGCTTTGTTGACATGATTCAATATAGAAGATAAATCAATTGGTATGTTATTACACTATCAATAAAATGTTCTATTGATTTGAAACATATTTATTACTTAATAAGGAAAATGATCACATGCCTAAATATTAAAAAAAATAAAAGTGTATCGGAATGTGGATTCGAACCTTCACTGTTCACATTTTCTGGTTACAAGCTAACTAAGTTACACATTAGGCTACATCGGATATAGACAAAAATGGAAATACAAACTGCTTTAACCCAATAACATCTGTCGCAGTTTTGAAAACTTAATCAACCCAGTTTTTAGGTCACCTAAACTTTTTACATTATCAACTTCTCCTCAAGAACCAGTGGATGGATTTAAGTCTGGGAAACCCCTTCACTTTCATAGATATAGTGAATATGGCTATATTTGCAGTATTATATTAACAATACCGAATATCTCAACAGTTCAAAAATTCATATTCAAATGGTTTGATATCTGTTCCATGCATTTTTGCTACTAAAGATTATTTACTCATCAATATTGTTTTCCGTTTTCAAAAATGCCAACTTAGGGAAATACGGGCAGTTTTCCGCCATAGCTCTTTATAATAAAAAACATAAATCTGAAATAAACTCATTTTCATCAAATGTGAATGAAAAAAGAAATTGTAATATTTGCATGATAATTACATTGGAATCCAATTTGGCGGGTAGTAATCCATTTTGTTATACTGTTCGGATAGCCAGGATTTCGGTTTCGGGTAATCTTTGTAATACACAGTTTTCCCACCTGCTAGATATGCACCCCACCATCCAAAAGTTCCGGAAGTTATAATACTGTGCTTGCACTGCGCAAGTATTGCCATGTCCAAATATGCAATACCAGTTTCACTAATAACAACGTCATCGGCAGCAAGATTTGCTTTCACCCAACTGACTGAATCACTTACAACAATAAACAAGGCGTTTTCAATTTCATACCGGAAGTACTCAAAAACCTTCCGGAAGTACTTAAGGTCCGCGACTTTATAGCCGCGTTGTAATTCACGTGGTGTGTTCATATCTCCTCGTCGCACGTGCACGCCAATCAGTGTCCTATTACCAGGGTGGAATTTATTTAAAGCCTTTGTTGCTCTTCTAATAATGTCGTCAGTAAACTGGAACAATTTTCGCACTTCCTGTCTGATATGGTGGAAATATTTCCAGGACTGAAAGTATCCGTTCAGTGTTATGTTTTTTGATTGAGTTAAGTTGTGAATTCGACAGTCGTATATTCCTGCATGATGTTCTTCGAATGAAACGTCATTTTTCATGGACACGTGATAAAAGTATTTCTGAGATTGAAAAGCTGAAAATAATAGAGATTTTTGACGTAAGAAAGGTGAAAATCCATATTGGGCAGCAACACCAAGTAATGACGCATACTTAAACATTTGGTTACCAAGGCGACCGTTCACACTCACCGTCATGTAATGGGATTTGTGAAATTCGAATAACGTTTTTTTAGAACTAGACGCATAAAACATACATTTTGGCGACTCGGCGTGTATTTGGTTTTCCTGAGAATTCGGTTTCAGCTGCAACCGCGAAGGTTTGTTACCTTGCCGTTTTGCGTCCTTGAAGAAGGAAATGTGTCCCCAATCTTCAGAGTACATGGCACTGACTAGTATAAAGTTCACCACCACCGCTAGCATGATACAGGTTATCAGAAATAGTTTGGCCCGATTCCGCAACCGAAGACACCATTGTTGTACATGTGTTACCTTCATTATGAACATTTGTCGAACGTTATTGAATCCTGTTGTAAACAATCGATCTTGTGCAAAAGACACAAACACATTGTACGTCACTGATTGACACACCGTGAAATTTAAAAACCCTGTAATCCTTTTGGGAATTCACTTTATTAATTATGTATTATACAATTATCAAGAGTACATGTTTACAGCTCCTATGCGACGTAACATAATGCTTTCTTTACACATTATTCAACAAGCCTGTCTTTCTACTCGGCGGAGCAACCACTATGTATTACCTGATCGTGGTTCAAAACGTTACGGTACAAAACACACGCCTTGTTGATATTGTTCTGGTTTGTTTCCAATTCGCTGTCTTCGTATTGTATTCCAAGCTGGTGATGCATCGATCTGTTCTAAGTCGATAGTCTAAACTCATTCCTCGGCATCACATAGGAATCCGCCCAAACCATTCAAAGACATCTATTTGTATGTTAACAATATCATAGTATGTGTACCGAAGCCATCTAAATATACCTGTCGTCATACGATCTATCTATTAAACCAAGTTCTGTGAATATCAATTAGGTTAATACAAAAATCAATGTGAAATTTGAATTATCATCCTCTTCTGAATATTACAGTTAATAACCTTACATAATTGTGTTTTTTTTATTTAGCAAGATTCTTATCCAGGAGTGTACAAATAAATTGCGTTCCGTCAAGTAATTTTGAAAAGATTGGCACTTAAGAATTTAGCTAAATGCGTTCTTATCCTAACAAAGCTTTATATAAACGAACTTTGCATTTAAATCTTCTTTATTGAAACTATTGTTTTAATCTATTACCATAAACAGTACATGAGTGTTTTAAACATTAGGCTGTTTGATTGTGAGTTATACAGTGCATAACCTTATGTCAAAAGAACTATCGGACTGTGACCGATCAATACGTATATCTTATCTGATCTAACTATGGAACATAGAACACCGTCTAAAGATATACACCGTAATGCAATAATGCGAAAACGTTCCAATTGATTAATGAGTGTGGATTACAATTAATTTCATGTTTATTCCTAAGACTAAAAACAGGGTTATACTGACTATCACTTTACATCATGCTTTTACCATTTGCACATCGAGAATTATTTATTTATAAACACTATTTTTAGTTGATTTATATTTTTATTATGATATATTTTTTATACATTTTTTTTTTAATTTCTGTTTGTTATCATTTATTTATTATTATTTGGTTTTTAATAATATAAAGTTTTAAATTTTTATTTTTTTTAAATTATTGAATTAAGGTTTTGTTTTTAATATTATCTATATATTGATATTTTTTTATTTTATTGATAATCTGTGACATTCACTAAAGACAGTAACAAAAAAATAATAGTTATGAAACCATAGTATTAACTGCAGTCTTTTTTAGTCTCATGTAATCCCATGATTTCTGGTAAGAGTAGAAGCGACAGATATAAATCCATGATACTTAATTAGCAACGTGTAGATAAGAGATAAAATTTTGTAGTATCACAAATCGATAATTAAATGAAAAATGTAAAAGAGACACATGGGTTTATATATATTTAATATACTTGTTTAGTTTACATATCCACCGACAAATTTATCGTATTGATTAGATGACGGCGTTGTGAACTATTCTGCTAGCCGATCATCGATTTTCTGATGGTTGGTACCCTTGATTCCTCACTGGGTCACATGGTTTCGACTTTAAACAACCGACATCGGAAGTATGTGTAATGACCAAACCATCTGTCGTCTCGATGACTGACCAACAAGAATTAATAACCTATTTATGTTTATACTGTAGCCGTTATACAATCAGGTACATGTCAGAAAACTAACGTTCGCCAAAGGCCTCGCAGTACTGTGATTGGAAAAATGTAGAAAATACTTCCATTAAACAAGTCCAATATGACATTTTCTCGTTAAAGGTATTGAACAATATCAATGAGGGGCTATTGAAACTAATGAAAGCATCAGACACATATTTTGATAAAGCTATTTAATAAATTTATGTTCGACTCTCCACCCAAACTAGAAAAAACAATAGATTACTGGGATTGTGAGAAATTTGGCAGAGAAATAAAACAATATTTTATGAAATAACCTGACATGTGTACATGCGCGATCTGGTTTACTACCTGTTAGTCTTTCGTGAAGAACAAGATTATCACCAGATGAAAACACAGATTTAAAATAAAATATTCTCCAGGCGGGATAAAAATCACTTCCCCTTGAGCTGATCATTTCGTTGTGTGGAATGAGAAGTCCTCGGAGGCAGCTTCGGTATAAAGGGAAAGATTGGAAGCAAGGTAATTTGCAACAAAAGATAACGATCTCCTTAATATTTAGGACGGATTGATCGAGTGGTTAACACTCCGGCCTTCCAAACAGGCGGCCGGGGTTTGATCCCCGAAGTCGTCGTACGCATGAAATATTCAGAGAAAGTGTTTTTCTCCTGCCCTCACAACAAACCCAGCTGGAGTATAAAATGGTCTGTGGTGGATGTTGCGGTATCTGTGCTGTGGCATTCAAGTGAGGTGGCACTATAAATGATACCTTGGAAGTACGACCCCACTACAAACAGAACACATTGCATCTCTAGCACACACGCAGGCATACACACATAGGGACATATTAGCCAGATGTCATAGGACAAGTAGTTAGCGCCTGATAAGGCAGTTCTTGCGAATTCCTCATAACTGTATTGATTAATGCTCATTGTATTCATTGTATTAAATTGTATATATATGTACTGTAAAGCGCTTTAGAGTGGCGTATGTTAGCTAGATAGGGCGCTATATCAAATGTTGTATATTTATTATTTTTAATATACTGCATCTTGGCTGTCTCGGTAAAATCAAGTAGGCTACTCGCCTTTGAACATATTGTTTATTTAACCATTCAGTGAAGTTGGAGTAAGTACGTCTACAAATGACAAATTGTGTAAATTTTGTGTGTCTCTCCAAAGATAACAGAACAGTTATCCTGATTGCGTATGTAAAATCCACGTCATGGTTTAGAATAAGCTACGGTACCTCACATTGACGCTATTCCTTGAAATGCAGCACTATCCCATCACCGTGTCCTTTTTTTGGCAAGAAGTGTGAACAACGCCTTTCCCGGTCGGCACATTATTGGTCAACATGTTGCTAACTAGGTCCTTGTCATGACAAATATTTTAAACTCACTGGCTGTTATATATAGTAACCAATAGACAATGACTTCTTTATTACCGAAAGACAGTGACAGTATAGGGACATAAGAATATACAGGATCCCCCGGAGCAACTGCATTTCAACGTCATGCGATAGCTCTTATGAGAGGCGTGCTGCTTCTCAAAAGAGGATATTGGTTTATGATCTGGCTGCGTGTGTTTATCAAGCTGTGACTCAATAGGAGTTGCTATAAAAGCGATAACTTCCTGTAATTCCTGTAATTTTAGCCACATTTCTTAAATATCATTACATAATACATTTAACAATGTAAAGGCCAAGTATCTTGTTGCAATATTTTTGTCACCGTCATTAATGTTGTTGTGATTATGTAAGGCATATACAAAAATATCCATTCAATAATTGCCCTATATGTAAAAGAAGTGTTATCAATATAAACTGTTCTTATCGAAAAATAGATATATTAAACATAGAGTTCATTGTTTAAATTGACATGATGTATTGAGATTTCATTTGCGAGGTATTGGGTATTGAGCCATTCTTTTGCAGTGTATTTACTTTCAGGAAGAAAATTAATTCCAAAAGTCCCGGTTGTAACACAATTCCGTCACTAAGTTAATCCATTTAAAACAGTCCGTGCAATTCAATGCATATCTTATCACTAATCATTATTTTTCATTTCTTTACTACTTTCCTTGACATAAAGGGACTATACACTTATTGGAACATAAATCGATTGAAAAACATGGTCATCACATGTTCTGTGTTTTATTACATGTAGTTCTGTTATACAAATTACAGGTGATGTGCTTATAGATCTATAGAATCGGAGTCAGATATGAAGATTCATCTATATTTTGACCCAATTTCGAGTGAGGTCTTCGTAGATGACAGGAGATGTATACTGTGTTCCAGCGCTGAATAATAATGATCAGCAATATATTTCTGCATATATTTGATAATATTAACATGATTGACACGACACCCTTGATATGTAGTCTGTCCGACGTAATCAGCGGGTAACCGTGGTTGTGGTATTCATTTCTCTTACAAGTGTACAAGATACACACATATCTAACGACCTCTTCGATATCGGCTGTCTGTTTATATGATTGAACTTTTACCTAAGTTGTAGATTATGTTAACGTTGCATAGAAGTGATAAATGTTCTACCCGTATCTCCTCATATCAACATCATATTTAAACTGGGGTTTGACAAGGGGTAATTGTTCAAGTCTGCAACTTTAAATTAATTGCCAAATATACTGAATAAACAAGTGTCTCTGGAATTTAAGCGCGAAGCGGAATGCTAGTGATATAATGAGAATGGTGAATAAGCTATGTGTTGAATGCATCAAACCGATTTAAAATCTGTTAAGATTAATTAATGATACTGTAAGATTTATTCCTGGTCGATGTTTTAATGATGATTAACATTAAGAACAACAAATGTATGTCAGGAAATTCAAATTAATAATGACCATATACTAAACAGGTATAATCGTATTTATTAAAATAATTTGCAAAATATTTTAGCTTGAAATTCGTTTGACATAATTATGCGTTAAGCTGACAAAACTTAATGCAAATTAATCCTGTGACAGCCTAATGTGTGTCTGTTACTGTAGTCATATGACAAGGAGAATCTTACCTACAATCATAAATGATAAATGTCAGACATGTTTACAAAGGATTTAAGAAGACGTGTTTCTAACTTGGCAGTGTTCTGCCTTTTTATCTCGGGAACTGTATCACAGACATGCACAAAAGTGTCAAGTTGTGCTTGCACAACTGACTCTGGATTCAAAATAGATCTAACACCCCTAGGAAATACTGATACAACACCGAGGTAAGGTCAACTGTGGTCATGTGAATCCTGGTATTAGCGGCCATACATCAGGTATATCTTTAGAGTAATTGTATACAACTATTATTGTATTGCACTGATTAAAAACACTTATTTGACGATGAGTTTCCTGATATGCAATTTCTGTGTGATAAAATGACAAGAGCACAATGCAGAGAGTACAGTAAATTAGAGAGCCCGTAATAAAGTACACTTTGAAAGTTTGTTAACTGTACTAGGGCTATGCAATCTCAATACGATGATACATAGAGAATAATACATGCCTTTTTCCATATCACACCCAGTGTCAACCCGAGATTGCAATATCAGCCCGAGGGCTGATATTGGTCGAGGGTTGATACTGGGTATGATATGGAAAAAGGCGTGTTTTTTTCTGTTTATTACACAATTACTAATAAAGACTACTCTTATGATTTATTTTTATTTTTTAAATATTGAAAAACGATTTTTTTTCCAAAAGGGGTGTGATATGGGTTTTGCGGGCTGATACGGGTTTTGGGGTGTGATACGGCGGGGTCTGATACGGGTTTTGGTGTGTGATACGGCGAGGGCTGGGCGACGTTTCGGGCCAACAAGAGTGATGAATATACAAAAAAAAAATGTATTTATTCGTAAGTATGTAATAAAAGAACATACATTATAGGACCGGTTAAGTTCCGAATGTTTGAATTAGCATTAGCATGTGCTGTGTAATGTACCCTGGTTTACTATATTTAACTTGTATTGACCACATATACACCGTGCCACATGATTGCTGATCAGTGCTTACCTCAAATTTTACCAGGATATGCGCAACACAAGAAATATCTAAACATTCCTTTAACTTTTTAATTTTTCTTCATTAATATTATTCATTAACATTGCAAAATATATTTCTATGTTTTACATGATAAAACACATTATATTGCCTCAAATCATAAAAATATTTCTGTTAAATTACAATCTTCAGTTTAATTTACTTAACGTTTCATCATGCTGATCATGTGTTGATTTAAGGAAATATCAGCAAATTTTACATAGCAAATGACAAATTTAACAATTTTATACCGATTTTATCAAATAAAAATATTACATGTATCCCTCTGTTTTATTTCATCTTCAAGTGCATGTGGTTAACACGTTATCATGCAGTGTGCCGTGTTTTGATTGGTTGTTAACTAATGATTTGACTGGTTATAGTACACGTTTGCATGCACTAATACTATCGATAGCAGTCAAACAGCATGCAGCCTACCATTCATTTATTTATCTTTTACAGCCTATCATATACTCATGTTTCTTTTACAGCCTATGCTTTATTTGTGTATCTTTTACAGCCTATCATATACTCATGTTTCTTTTACAGCCTATGCTTTATTTGTGTATCTTTTACAGCCTATCATTCATTTATGTAAGCGTCTTTTACAGCCTATGATTTACCTATTAGTCTTTTACAGCTTATGATTGACGTAAGTGTCTTTTACAGCCTACATTTCACCTATAGGTCTTTTACAGCCTATGATTAGCGCAAATGTCTTTTACAGCCTACATTTTTCACCTTTGGGTCTTTTACAGCCTACGAATAATCCATGTGTTTTTACAGCCTACCATTTGCCTAGTGTTTTATGTAAACTGTGTGAGAATAGAGTTAGGTTACAATGCCTCAATGTAAGACTAGTGTTGTTGTTGTAGTTTTCATCTTTGGAGCATAACCTCATTCACTGAGTAACTGCGAAATCACTATTTTTAGTGGGGAATTCGATATCGTTCATTTTGTTGGTAATCTTCATCAACAAATAAATAGGTCCACGAAGCAATTATAAGTTTGATATAAAGTAATTCTCCGTTTAGGTGGGTACTCGTTATCCATGAAGTGGTGTTATGTCGGGAAACCACGAAAGTTAAGCCCCCACGAAAATACCTAATTTCATAGTAACATGTATTTCAACAAAATTATATCGGCCTACACTTTAACAAGTACCACGCTGTGTGCAATGGTGGGCTCATTATTTGAACCACTAAGGTTTCTGTTAAACAATTTAAAGTTATGGTCACAAATCAATACGCCATACATTTATGAATTCAAAATTGCTTTTCAGCCTCATTACCTCTCGAACTCTAAAAACATAGCTATAGACAAAAACTATAAACAACAATAGCCAATCATAGTACATGTATAAGTCAATAATATATGCCAGATATAGCTACAATATAAGCATTTTTTAAAAGACATGTTTCAAAGTGAATGTTTATAAACTTTTCATGGGTTTTATAAATGTTTACATGTTTTCCGTATCATGGTCTGCATTATCTTACTTTTGCTTATTGGTGTTTTTTGTTTTCAGATTTTATCTGATCATCTCATATAAATGTTTCATTAAAACACAGATATTTAGACTAAGTGTTCTTAATGCATGCTTAGCAGATACATATGCATTCAACTTTATGACCGTACATGCCTATTGCGATGAAGGAAATAGCATATCGACGAGCGATTTAAAATGCCAAAAAGGCATAATTACATGTAGAAGGGAAGTTAATCATAAAAGAGTCAGAAAGTAACTTAAGAAACTAGGCTGAATTTGTGCTAATTTCATATGTTATACGTTTGTATATTTCAGATTTCAAGACATTCCTGATTCAAAGGGGAAGACAGACGTTTATTCATGGAATCCTTGTCAAGAATTTACGGAGGGCACGTGTGTCAATGAAGCAGTAAGGATTTTATTTATCGTAGACCAAGCACACACTATTTCTGATAAGAAGCAATATAATAAAATGTAGCTGTATTCGTACACTGCAAAGCTACAGCTTTGCTATTATGTCTTTTGAAAGCAGCATTTATTTTCATGTAGAACAGGCATCCGTTCATAGCATGGTTGTTACGCTTCATTGTTTCTGACTTGCTGTATCTTATGAACATCGTTCAAGATACAAGGTTGTAGACTCTGCTGGTCGATTTTTTAGTCCCCGATGTTTGCTGTAACATTGATGGCCATAGTTGTCTCTTTTAAACAGTCGTTCAGTGTGTGATTGGCTTAACTTACTCGTTATTGACCCGAATTTAGCCAGTACTCCCCTATTTTTAAATTTCTTTAATTAAGGAATTTTACGCGCTCCAGCTAGAAGGATGAAACAACTGTATGGTGCAGTGTTATTAATTTTTTGCATGCTGTATTTATTAACATTTTTTCAAGTTGCAGCCCTATGTGTGTGTCTTTCTATATATGTTGGCATATCTTTCCTTTAAATGCGATATTACGTATGTTAAATACCTGTCATATTACGTTTGTCGCAGGTTCACATCGTAGGAGAATATATTATCCTGTTCTCAACATTACAACATAAATATGGAGTCAAACTGGAAGCTCAAGGAGTCTTCTGGGTTTTTTTCTGTCTCAAACAAACCTTTTATTGTCAGATATTACTTGAGTATTCTGCCCATATTCTATAAACCATAATTTGGTCTTGGTCAGTTGTTAATATTGCTCACTTAAAAAACAAAAAAGAGATAAACATTTTTCATTGCAATTTTCCTCTTATACTATAAATAAGCTTATGTCAATAAAGCTATAATTATGGACAAAATGTTACTGTGACTAAGCGCAATTACAAAGGTCATCAAACTGGTGAGGACGTCAACATACAATATATGCCGATATCAAATAATATATTTATAGACAACACTAAAACTATGCTTCATAATTATGGCATTTTAGAGGTTTTCAGCATACAAATTGACCCTGAACATTATTGAGTTTGGTGCATCAAGTGATCAACGAGAGGACTAAAGGAGGACAGCACGTTGCGAAAATTAAGATTGTTTTCTATCCCTTGCTGTACGTAGGCATGTAAAGTGACGCCCTCTGGAATGATCACCCAGTACCTTGGAATAGGCACGCAGGACTCCGCAACATTCCTGTACGATGACAAAGGAAGGCTTACCATCCAATACACAACTGGGAACGCGTGAGTTAACATCAATTTGCTTCCATACTGTTCCCGTTTTTAACAGGAGTTCAATGCTTAAGAAGCATTAAAATAAAGCAATCATTTCGTTTCTTTGGCATTCTATTTAACAATAACTGCTTCCTCTCTACGTATTGTAGGGATTAGTTTCTTTAAATGTATCACCTTTCTCAGAATATTGTTCAGTGATAAAAAAAATCTCCAATCTTCCTGCTGTTAAAGAATTTGTTATCATTATGGCTAACCACATGTACATCAACGTCATCAAGTACGAATATTATGTGTGACAAAATGGATGTCATTACCCCTGTAAAGCTACAGAGAGTAAAGAAAGTAATGACGCAGGAGGTAATGACAGTTTGCTCCCCCTTGAGAAAATGAAGATGCACCTATGAATATCGGAGAAAGAGATGACAACAATCATGAACGGCACACGGAAATATATTTATGACATCAAAGTTAGTATTAGTTAACGTTAACAAGTCACACGTAATACGGGTAAGAAAGCCTATAACCAAAGCTTGTGAATTTCTGTTACTGTAAACAGGACAACTGCGGTTAATATTATCTGCTCAGAAGATGATACAGGCTCAGTGACTGCGTACGGGCTAGACCAAGAGGGCGGACAGAAAGAATACGTAAGCCTCATAATTCTTTGTATATCAGTGAGTTAAGATTAAGTATGAATGATGAATGAATGCATTATCTCCCTTTGTAAGCAACAAAAAAAACCATTTACGGTGGTCGGGTGGCGCAGTGGATAGCGCACTTGCCTTTCACCAAGGCGACCGGGGTTCGATACCCCGATCGTACTTGAAAAGGTATGGGGCCACCTGCCCAACCAAGTGGGTTTTCTCCGGGTACTCCGATTTCCTCCCACACTAAGACCCCCCGCGCGCTAACATTCGGGCCAACAAGAGTGATGAATATAAGTTGAAATAACTTGTTTCATAATTGTTGTAAAACAAATAAAATGTATATAACAAAGACCCATTGGATGGCAGTAGCAATTCATGTCATATGCTAAATTGATGGTTCCTTTCTCCTAATGATCCAGTCAAAGCATAAAACATCGAATACTGGTACTATTCCCTCCATCTGTAACGATTTTTTTAAAGTAGTTTCGTTAAAATCGTATATTATTTAAACTCATTCTTGAAATGGATTTAAATGGAATACTTTTGTTTTGCTTCAAATCTACAGATTCTAATGCTTATGTACCGATCATAAATTAGAAATAAAGTTGAACTTTGGACAGAAACTGTCTCGAGGATCAAAGGTGATTCCTAATATTTGCATTTCAAAGCAAATGTGTGACGTCATCTGATTGTTATAGGTGATTCCATTAAAATGGGACACTCAGTAAATTGCATCTTTAAGCTATTTCCATCATTATATTGCAGCACTTTGAATTGAAAACGGCATACGCCTGTCCCCCGAAACACCCAACAGCAGTATCAATTGGGACATACCTGTGTATAGGGTAGGTCAAAGTACAGTATGTTTATGTCACGACGATTGTTTTCAATGTTTAAAGTCTTGTTTATAAATTGTCGTCGGGGAGTCGAAGTCGAATGATGACACAGAGAAAATGCTTGATTTTCCAATGTTGTATTAAAAAATTCTGCAGGTTGTCAAGTACAATATGACAAAGTTTTAAGACAGATGGTACATAAACTTCAGGAGTACACCGGTAGTCCAAGCGTAACCTCTCGAGCCGGAGACCTGACTCGGCTGAACTAGTTTATCAATTACTACTGCAATTTACACCTTAGATAGGTTTCCAAGTTGCTGGGTGTAGCACGTGTCATTTTAATAAGAACAAATAACGTAAAACTGTACCTTTGTAGAAGATGCCAGATAGCTTAAATCTTACTACATCAATGATAGATATTGCTATTCCAAGTTACCTGTGCAGGCATTTAGGTCTCTAGCTTTAGGTCAGCTGGAAGATAATTACTATAAGGCAATGCAAAAAATCAAACAAGATTGACACGAACCAGAACAAAAAATATTGTCCCCTAGGCGTATTACAGGTAAACGCTTGCTATCAGTTGTAAAGAATAACAATTTTCCTCAACCAATTGAGCATATAGAATATTACGAAGCAGTCAAAATTTAATTGATTTTGTGAAAAATAGTCCGAATGTTGATAAAATGTTCTGTTTTATTTTTTCTCAATTTTTCACAATTTCACACCGTATCATTTGTGCAATCAATTTTGCGTGGCTAATATTTTCATAATTCAATCATAATCCTCGCCATATATTGGCTATACCCTGTATAAGACGAAACTTTCATTGGACCTAATAACGGCATTATAGCCAGGGTTAATAGAAAGTAATTTAGTATTTCTTTTTCAGATGTGGCGTATTTCTAATTGTTTATATAGTAGGAGGCGTATTATTTCAAAGTTTTGTGAGGAAAGAGACTGGAAAGCTCAGAATTCCAAACCTTAACTTCTGGACTGCAATGCCTGCGTTAATCAGGGTAAGTTGTTTCAGAATGTATGCTACTGAAGGTTCTGGCAATCATATCTCACGAACAGTCTAGTAAATGTGATGGTAGTATATAAAACTGTGATATTAATTTGATGAAACATTTGAATTTTTACATAAGAATATTACATTCAGACAAATCTGAAATATTAGACATTATAATAAGAATTATATTTGCTAAAGGGAGGTAACCTCTACAAGAATCAAAGCTATAGCAATCAAAACGGTTGAACCGATTGGACCAGAGTTGTTCGTTTATGAAATAATGTCCAACCAATTCATCTGATGCTGCTTTGAAGCGAGCCTTGACAAAACCTTATAAGGCCTTCATAAACATTTGCAGGTCTGCCGAGATTTATACCAGAAAATGTTACTTTTTAAAAGCAGTCTAAGCGGGTTTTCCGAATACACGAGCAGGCCCTTTAACTCATCCACACCTGAAATTTCATAATAAACTATTCAAAGATTTGAATTAGAAGAATTCAAATGTGTTTTTAGGGGTAAATGAGTTAAGTAAATAATATCATAATGCCAAGTGAAAAGTAAAAAAAACCCATACAACTTACAATTTGAAGATCTAGCGATAGTTCCTTTAAAGAACCTTGGACTTCAGATTGTTACACTATCGCCTTAACCGATTGACATACCTTGTGAACGAAAATGCCCAGGCTTTACTTAGAAAATATATGGCTTTTGGTTGAGGTAATAGAATCTGTTTATTATAAATATAGACATTCATGTTCATTCCATTGATGATCGATATAGGAATTGAACGAAGTTTTCTAGTTGTCTTGGTATCATACATACACAGTAATTCATATCATCGTGACATGTGTATTTCCCTAAATCAAGTAACCTCCCTTTAACCTCCGTTATATCATAACTGAAGAGCAACTCGGCCAGGATATATCGACAGACTGAAGTTCAGGGTCCGAGTCCGGGTCTAGTCCTCAGTGGGTTTCTTTTACAGTTAGAACACTGCTGTTGATTTTATTTTGTTTATTTCATCTTCATGATTTTTCAAAATAGTCCCGCAAAGTCGGGTTTTTTTTCATGATTTAATTATCAAAGCCATATTCATGCCGCAAAAAAACAGTCTCCAATACTTAGTAACAGTTTAGTCAGTGGAACGGGGATCCTTGATACTTAGTGACAGTTTGTTGTTGGTACGGGGATCCTTAATACTTAGTTACAGTTTTGTCAGTGGTACGGGGATCCTTCATACTTAGTCACAGTTTGTCAGTGGTACGGGAATCCTTAATAATTAGTTATAGTTTTATCAGTGGTTTAGGTATCCTTAATACTTAGTTATAGTTTTATCAGTGGTTTAGGTATCCTTAATACTTAGTTATAGTTTTGTCAGTGATACGGGGATCCTTAATATTTAGTTACAGTTTTGTCAGTGGTACGGGGATCCTTGATACTTTGTTACAGTTTGTCAGTGGTACGGGGATCCTCAATACTTAGTTACAGGTTGTCAGTGGTACGGGGATCCTCAATACTTAGTTACAGTTTGTCAGAGGTACGGGGATCCTCAATACTTAGTTAAAGTTTGTCAGTGGTACGGGGATCATTAATACTTAGTTACAGTTTGTCAGCGGTACGGGGATCCTCAATACTTAGTTACAGGTTGTCAGTGGTACGGGGATCCTCAATCCTTAGTTACAGTTTGTCAGTGGTACGGGGATTCTTGATACTTAGTTACAGTTTGTCGGTGGTACGGGGATCCTCAATACTTAGTTACAGTTTGTCAGTGGTACGGGGATCCTCAATACTTAATTACAGTTTTGTCAATGGTATGGGGTCCCTTCAGGGACGTACCTTAAAATCCATTATAATCTAAAATATGATTGCCTGTCATCCAATTAAAATGGTTCACGTCAATGATTTTCAAACTGTTGCGCGTATTCAAAGCTATATTCAATGTCATATCGAAGCGTCAGGCGTCAAACAAGTCTTAGTATAATTTGAACGCTTTTTCATTAAATATGTTTGAACGATTATTTTACTAGTGGTGCAAAATTAAATTGTAGTTATTATAATGTCCATTCATGTATGTAAAGATCTCTTAAAGGGGCTATTTAGTCAAATGACAAACTGAAAATCGAGTCGATGCTGAAACTATATATCACCGTACGAAAGTTTACGTAGTTGGTAATGACATGACCTGAGGCCAACGTCCAGTGTGGTCAGTTTCATCCTTTGGGAAAGCCGGTGATAAAAAGGTACGACCGAAATAGCGCAATATTCGGACCTTTCAGTGAGAAGTATACATGTTCAGCGCCACGCTGTCGACCGAAAAACAGTGTCAGTTATCACTTAATACATTCTTGAATTTACACAATATATCGCAAGCAAAATTTATAAGTATTATAATATATATATATAATCAGATATTTCTGTTTACATTTGGATTTGATTAAAATCGAACAGGTTAAATAACAGCATGCACGCATTAAGAGGGTGCCGCAGAATAGGTTGAAGCGTAATATAGAGTACCCATTTATAACCATTTTTGAGATGTTGTTTGAAGATACTTTTGATTCAGAATAAACGCATATCCTTGTATTCTGAAGAGGCCAGATGAATAAAACGAGAATTTAGCTTCTCTTCTCGGCTGGAAGACATTGTAAGCTAGAAATTCACCGACAGCTGCCGCTAACATGTACGGCTGATTTCTTCATTACTGATTAAATACAGCAAGAAAAACATTGCTTCTTGTCAGTTTCTCGACATGAGTTGATCATAAGGAGTATCAAACTATATTATAATGAAGAATTTTTAAGAAGATTTAAAAAAAACCACTTGTTTCACTTAATTTTCCCATTAACTGTAATTGTCTCCTTTAAATCAATATACGTTTCTGTCAGTTGAATTTCCGAGTTTCATCTTTTTAATGCTCAAATTGCATCTTCATTAAAGATCTTACATCTAAGCTGGTAGGTGATTTCCTAAAACAACAGTTTTGTTTGGAACAGTTACAAGGAATTTATTTAGACCACGCTGGTGATTATTATTTGCTATTGACTTGTTTCAGGATGGTGTGATGTTCGTGTTGACGAGAGGGAAGAAGAAAGTGGCATACGACAGAATATAGACAAATACTTCCGTCTTTCCTTCTTTCGCAACATTATATCTTATGGGCAAAAATGTATCTTTGAGTGGAAAGTGCAGTTGATTTAAAGTGAACATTTTTATATGAATTACATTACAATGTGAATGTTTCTGTTTTCATGAAAAACTTCATTGAGTGACATAAAATGTGCATTTGTAACGATTTCCTTGGACATTACATTGAAAGAAACGTTTACTGATTTCTTACACTATCTCTAAGCAATAAGACAATGGTGTAACTAACTGATTAACATCCCAATCATTTAACAAACAAACAAAAAATCTATAATTTTCCTATAAACAGGGTATATTCTTGGTTTCTTGTTGATTAACAGTTCGAATTTTCGAGTGGAGGGACACATTTAGATATATAATTTTTATCACGAGTGAAACATATACAAAATATTCAACAAACCAGTGAATATAAATATTTGTTTTCATCATGAAACCAAGAATATACTGGTTCTTAATATTTTCCATTGTGATGTACGAAATATCGTTAATTGTTGTTAAACCCTTTCCTATATTCTACCATAACACGTTTTCATTATTTTCATAGAAAGAGGCGAACATACATTTTGTGGTCGCAAAATATTAACATATGATTTTGTGTCCAATGTTGATTAATTGAAGATGTTATTAACGCACATGTAAACAATGTATCTAATTTAATGTTTTATCCTTTTGTTATTTCATACGATTACAGGGATCAATTGTCATCTTTAATTGTTTTCATTTAATTACAAAAGTCTTTCAGCAAATATCAATTTTCCAAAAAAAAAAAAAAAAATGCTGAAAATGACACAAATGTCATTTATGATATTATTTATTTATAAAATTTAACGGATGCAACACTGCAAATAAAATCCTGGTGATATTTATCTATATAATACCATTGTGTGACATCGTTATTTAATTAACTCACAAAAATCATTGTTTCTGTCATATGCAATTTGTTTGAGTGATTTTTTTCACTTTGTATACAAAGTACTAAGCTATATCAGAAATGATAATGCCTACAAACAAAAACATAATGCTGTCTCTCTTCCCGACGTTTTCCGTCTGAACGTGACGTTTCGGCTTCTCACTTTAATGTTGAAATTATCATTCCTGAGAACCTGCGGTTTTTAGAATGACATTAATCAAATTACATTTAAAATATAACTTATGGTTGCTGGATTTAAGAACAAGATAATTTCTAATTTATTTATGATATTTCATTTGTCATACAATGTATTTGTAAAACGAATTACGTTGGCTAGTCAGTAGGGCTGCAACGACATATTGTGCGACGATGTATCGCGATGTTTTGAACACACAATATTTTTGGCGGGTAACATTACACATACGATATTTTCATGATTTTTTTATTTAGTCTACTTATATCGGTTCCAGCATGCCAAGTGACAACTCCAGCTTATCATGCAAGTCGAAAGACGTAAATTGTGCGTGAAACTTTAAAGTCATGCCCATTTTGGACCAAGTCTTTGCTGTTATTGTTACTATGTGTACTATATCGTAGTGTGACCACAGTATCGTGAAACGTATCGTATCTTCATGTTAATGTATCGCTGCAGCCCTAACAGTTTAGAAACCTTTGCGATATTAAACCCACATCATTATTTCCAGTTGTTGAAATATGTCATTCTGATTTGAGATTCGGATACCACAAACGATCAGGCATTAGAGAAATACCGATCGCAATGTAAAATTGTGCAACTGACTAAGTTACTGTTTGATCGTGTTGATTCTCGACCCATATTCTTCTTGTTGTCATTCGTATTAACAATGTTATCAAACAGGCCAATTAAACATTTAGTTGCCATACTATTCATGATCTAAAAACAATTAGGGCTAATAGTATTTCATTCTCCTTAAACGAAGATGCATAAGGATATTTTAACATAAAAGGTTCTTGATTTTCAGTGAAATTGCCAAATATGTTTCAATGAAGCATTTTTCATATTATTTTTTAATTCTACAGGACTTAATATAGTTAAAATAGATAAGGTGAATAATACGTTTCTGTATTTGGCATGTATAAGAAAAAAGTAATCCACGTCATACTTTGGAGATATTTGGGAAGGTCTGTTTGAGATAGAAAGTAGTGGTTTGTTTTTTGTCAATTATTTGAATTCATCAATAATGTTATAATTGAGAATGACGCTATAAATTGAAGCTATTCAATAATATTCTTCCAAATGGAATCTTACTTTAAAATGTTGCATATGTAAAGTTAAGGATGATAATATGCACTATTTTATTGAATATCAATGCGTAGAATCATTTTGGAATTTAATCAATGAGCGTCTACGAAAACATAATTACAATGTTCAGTTAAGAAATATGTATTACATTGTGATTGGTTATACAATATATAAACATTACCACATCTCAAATAGAAGGATTAACATCTGCTCGATTGTATATTCATTTAAAATATACCTTAAGAGAAAGCTACTACTACAGAGATATAGAGATATAAATTATTAAAAGATATGGCAAAGTCTTTGAACGAGTAATGGTATTAAACGAGTAAAAAACAGAGAAAAGAATAAATAAATAAAAAGGTGCAATGATGATAATACTGAAGGCTCATGGCGCTTTGCACCTAAAGTTACGGTTTCTGGGTAAAGATGTGTAAATTAAACTAGTATGGACAGGATTTGCATGTAACCATGTAAATGTGTATGCAAAGGATGAGTATGTGTTAGTATGTGTGTGTGTGTATTGGTGTGTGTGTTTGTGGATGCTACATACCGAGGTAAAACTGGTGTGTGGGTGTGTGAGAACATAAGTGGACATTTTGAGCAGTATATCTGTGTTTGTGTGTACATACACATGTACACACATGCACACACACGCATACACATACATGCGCGTGCGTGCGTGTGTGTGTGCGTGTGAGGGTGTGTGTATGCGTATGTGCATGTGTGCGTGTGAGGGTGTTTGTGTTGGTAATTACAGACGCTATTGAATTGTTATCATTCAGTTACGCGCGTGTTTGTAATGTACGTAATGTTAGTGAACGGGCACAGGTGAGATGGTAGTGTGAGAGACTGTCTTTGTGTTTTGTAAATCGGACTGATGAAATGTGAAATGTGTTTAGTAACAAAATATAAGGGATGTGAATGCATTAACATTGTGACTATATATTTACTTAATACTATCATATAATGTTGTATATGAAATCTGGAGAACTATAAAGGAAAAAGAACCTATATCTGAGCACAATAAAAAAATACAGGACTTACCGGCAGCTTAGCAATAGTTAAAACCAGAACGTATGATTTCCTGTAGAGCAAAAATCTTCTTAGCCGCCATTTAAGTACTCTCGGAAAGATGACCATATCAAACATAAGTCAACGTCAACACTAATCATTTTAAAACTGTTTATAGTCACATTTATGTTCCGGCAGACCATATTAAAAGATTGATCTTTCGAAGGATTTTTGTCAATAAATACAGCTTGGAATTTGTCTATACTATTCCTTTCAAACCATTAAAGATAATTATGCTGGTTAACAGTCCGATTTATTGCTTACTCATCAAAACTGCTATTAATACGTAGCACCCTAGTTTATATAGATATATATTTAATATAGTTCAGACCTATACTTCGACAATGTAGTTTGCATATTTACGAAAAAAAACCAAAAAAACAGCCAAAGCTGTCATCGAAAATGTATATAGCTAGCCAGTCTAAATATTAAATATGGCATTTTCGAAGTTCTATCAGAGCGTTCACTGTTTTTCAAAAAGTCAGTGTAATTTTGTCTGATCAAGTATGCCCATATAGTATTTGTGTCAATTGGCTATCCGATACAGGTATCTTCGTTTTCCTACGTCTGTCAATTCAATTCCGTATGAAACCAAAATTTTCTTTATCTATCAGACTTGAACTAAATTTATAACGATTATACTTATATGACGACCAGCTCACAGGCTTTTTTGTTAGAATAATTAATAATTTTGAGAACTCAGCATGGTGCCCGGTCAAGCCATTACTCGCTAGAGCGGTTATATATAAATACATATTTGTTTCTCAAATTTTACCTGAAACAAGAAATGTATTAATTAAATATAATGAGATAAGGTTCATTTCATTATACATAAACATGCCATTGTCTACAATGTACCTCCATCTGAAATATTAAATCAACTACAACATTTAAATAACGTGTAGGGGAAGCCGGGTGTTACTTTCAAGAAAGGGAAGATTAACGATATGAAATTATAAATCATTGCGCTTAACCTAGTATAGTTTAGTACATTTTATATGAAGCTATTCCTGTTGGAAGATGAAAAGGAAAGTCCTGGTAGTGCATCTTGGTAAACATGTCGCTGACACCACTCAGAAGGATTTAACACTAAAGATTATCCGTCCTCGTATTATGACAGACATGTCAGTCAAACGCCCGCCCCTAGAACGAACTAAACAATGCCTGCCAATTTAAACAAAACTGATACTCGTCTGTTTCCCCAAAACTATCGTTGTTCGGGCATACACCCTAGTACAGTCAGACTTCAGCGAGTTTATTTGCCGGATACCGTTAACACACCTCTATAACACTACATCTGCAAATTTAATATTAAGTGCTGGATATTTAAAGTTTTGCTAAGGTTGAATTTAGACAAAATTTGGGACCTCTGTCTTTTTTTTATTTTGTCCTCCCTACTCATTCCCTCCAGCAGTGTTTCCAAAATCACCATTGTTAATGATCATTGGCTAGTGCCAAAACGTTAAACCTTAAGTTTTGAATGTTAAACGTCCGCGGACTCGTGATCACGTGAACATGTTGACATAACTCTATGTACTTTATATCGAAATGTACAAACCTACAGCTATGCTTAAAAACTGATTCACTCCTGTAACTTAATACTGTTAATTCCATCTCAAACATCGAATCACGAGTGTTGCCCACCATTCCATATATTCTTCCGCGTGACAACGATTTGCCGTTCCATAAGTTCACCCTCTGCTATTCATTTATTCCTTTCTATGAGATGACGCCCCTCGTGGTGTGTGTCAATTGCCGTCAAAAAGGCTTATTGTGGATCGAATCACTCCCAAACGCTTGGCAACATGTGTTTGCCCATGACATTGCTAGGTGAACGTGGTCTTCCAACGATATCTTTGTCACTCGTGAATGATTTTGCTCATGAGTGATCAGATATAGCTGATATTGTTTATTTCACAATATTTATCCAAATTCAACAGTAAGTTAAGCATAAGCATATTAAGCGAGATATACCAACGTGTATCTGAGGCTACATCTGGGACCTGTGTTGTCTCCCTCCCACTCCCTGCCCAGTCCTTCCTTTAAGCGGGGTCTTCGTAGATACCAGATCGTATTATCATAGTTGTTACGTATCGACTGTAGACCCTATTTGTTTTAATTATGCGTCTTTTTGTCCAAGTATATACTGCAACGTCAAAAGAGCTAAGGCTGCGCGAACTCGTGGTAATTTAAGCATGTTAAGACAGCTCTACGTTATCAGTATCACATTAACAAAACGACAGCTCTTTAAAAAATTAAAATTGGTTACCATTGACAACCACTCTCAGTAGCTACGCACAACTCAATCTGATTCTTCCAATCTAAAACATTATAATCGTATGTTGAGTCATCGTTCCACAAACTCACCCCTTGGACTCCATTACATTGCGTTCCATATACTCAACCTGCGGAGTTCCTTTCTATAAAACAGCGCTTGCTCAATATCTCGTCCATTCCAGCACGGGAAGCAGTCGTCTATACTCTTGATGCACAAAGGATTTCTAGAGACAGACACCAGCATGTCGAAATCTACCACTGTTGTGAAATTGAATAATGGCATCAATATGCCGTTATTTGGACTTGGGACATGGCAGGTAATTTAACTAATGATATAATATATAATGCATGTTTTAACACCTTTGTTTAATTATATAAACATGTATACATTGCAATACTGTCTTTGTGTAACGTATTGAGTGTATTAAAATGCAACATGAATATAATTTTCAGTATTTATATATTGCAAAGTTAAAGTGTTGGATGCAAATGCAATCTCATTGTAGTTTAAGCTTACTTTTTAAGGGTGTTATATGTTATACATAGCGTGTGGGTGGTACGGGGTGTCGTGTCTGCAATATTAATCTGGTGTTTTTATTGTATTTGACGGTTCGCTGTAGTCACCACAGGATTTGTATCACATGTATAACTATACAATAAGCTTAGGTAACGCAGCTTTTAATTTCAAATGGTAAAAATCTTATTAAACATGCATAGCTTGGCGATAATGTAAGGGTCCCCGTGCCGCAGTAATGTAACTAAGAATTGGAATCTGATATTTTTCCTGCATGGCTATAAATTTGATTTATTTACGGATTTTATGCTAAAACTGAGATGGATTTTAGCTAAAAGTAATCAACAATAGTATTTTAAATGTAAGAAATCAGTATTGCTCACCAGGATTCGAACCGTAAACCTCTAATGGACTGAAAAACGAAAAACCGGAATTCACTATATCAGAATTACAAAATTTAAACAGTCCCTAGGACCGGAAAAGCTAAAAAATCTGATTATATATATATTAAAACGCAAAAAAGTGAAAGGCAGATATAACCGATAAACACAAAATCTTCGCCAGGTCGGTATCAATTTAATGTGTACGGGATTTTGTTTTCATTTCTTTTTGTTGAAACGTGATACTTGTTCAGCTCTATAGAGCTCTAATTCGTCTGATGTGTAAAAAGGCGTTTTAAGCCTAGTAAGCTGACAATCCTTTATTTCGCTGGCATACATGTATTTAGATTACTCCACCGTTTAAACTCACGTTTCCGTCATTAACAGCAGACACACAAAAGACATGGCCGCGGATTATATATCAGGTGAACTGTGCGGTGCTGGGTAACCAGTCACTTCAAACTTACGCCTTATTTTCACTTGAATTTTACTTGAAGCGACTTAATGGATGGTTAGCTTCAATTTGAGATCAGTTACCTCTTGGGGCGTGGTGATAAATGAAAAACTATTATGATTCTCCTACGACAAGACATGTATTCCTTTTGCATAAGGTACGTTAGAACACAAGATTTGAAAAAAAAATGGTTGTTTGATTAGATTTACAATTTTCCAGATATGTTGCAATGTGTTACATAATGGGTATTTACAGAAAGATAACTAATAAAAAATAACAAAAAGGCATGTGATTGAGTTTCCCTAAAGATATCATACAAATTTTTCGAAGCACTTCCTTTAAGACCTTTTTAACAAATTTTCCCTGTTGTTCCATGCTTACATTTTGGAAAAATCTTTAAAATATCAAATATACAGTTGATATTGCTTGACATATATATGGCAGTGGCTTCTGTTCCCTGAAAATAGCAAAAACATCAATGTTTTCAGAATTTGCTAAACCCAAACATTGCATAACACAGGTAAGTATTATGTATTTGATAAAAGAAATCCATTTCAGGTATGCTATTTAAATTCTTAAGACTTTTGTTTCATACCAATTAAATAATTAACATTTGTTATCTTGTTGGTAACATTTCTGTTACTCCTGAAAACAAATACAAAAAGTGTATTTGAAATTTAAACTTCTGTGAACAAGTGCAGCACTGAGTTTCTGTTGAATCTGTAAATGTGTACTAAATAACCCTCTTCAAAGCACTGTTAGCTTATCACACATCGGTTGTGGATACTACTGGTTCCTGTACACTATTACAATAATTACATACGCTGCTTATCTGAGCTAATGCTGTCGAACACTCGCGGTTCTCATAAAATCTATAAAGTTCACTTATGGGGTCGACAAATTTATAGAAAAGGCAAGTAGAGCACTGTGACGTAGAAATGCAAGTTAATTCAGAATATAAAAATGCAGAGTAGGGTTGTCTTGTTTGTTAGTGTCAGTTTACGTCAAGGTCGCGTTTAAATAGCTCTGGAAAATTTCACATAGCAGAACACTAAATTAGGTTAAGTGAACAATACACTTTGTCACCTGTACATACCTGGGCTATATGTGCTCGATAACTGACAGTTGTTCACGGGACATTCTAACATTGATAAGCATGTCGATATCTGCAACGAATATAACGCTGAACAATGGAATCAAAATGCCGTTGTTTGGGCTCGGGACGTGGCAGGTAGGAATTTTACAGAAATATGACAGCTGCTGCAGATTTGTAAAAATAAATATATCTTTCACACTTTTGTGTTTGAAGAAAAATGATCACTTTAATCTCATATACGGTAAATAAAACTCGAGCGGAATTTTGAAATCACTTGGTCTGCCACAATGGTTTACTGTGGCCTTCAAAACAAGATTGATTTATCGGAAATTTTCTTTTTATAAAAAGCCAATCCAATACGAATAATAATAATACCTTTATCATACTAAGTCAATATAAAGCATTCCGCTCGTGACATATTAGAGTAAATAGTTTGTTCAATAAGCAATGCATATATGACAGCACAAACGTACGGGCATTGTTTTTGTATGTGTGCAAGTGGGTCGACTGTTTAGTTGGTTATTACGGTCAAGCGTCTATAAACAGAGCTGGGGTCTATTGCATGTGTGTGTATTTAAAGCGGTATGTTGATATATATGCCTCCTTTTGGTAGCATATCGTGTACGTCCTATTAGGAACATTAATAGATATGGCCATTTAAGGACGTGCCATGCTTTGGTTGTGAAGCAAAACCGGATATCCGGAGAAAAGCTATCTATCTGGACCAGTACATAGGCCTCGGAGCCGGCGCGGATCTGATGTTGACTTAAGTTTTATACATTTATGATGATTAAATTAAACACCAAATCTGCATACATTTGATAGGTTAAACTAGTTGTACTCACGGGTTCTATTCCCCGATCGGACGTGAACAGGTTAGGGTCACCTGCCCGACCACATGGGTTTTCTCCGGGTACTCCGGTTTCCTCCCACACTAAAACCCCCACCGCGCTAACATCCTGGTCAACAAGAGTGATCAATATGAGTTTAAATAACTTGTATCATAATTGTTGCTTAATAAATAAAGTTTATATATATTAATCGGTGTAGTAGTTATATGTTATCAGGTCAACTTGGGTTAGCCACAACTCTAGATTAAATTTTATCTCTGTTTCAATAATCACTGTTAAACACATCAAACACAATATGTGCCCAAACGGCTAATTTTACATTTTGGTTGATAGTTAATCATGAATCATGAAAATTTGACATCATGTCAATTATTTTTGATCAGGAGCACATTGCAAGACTTTATTTTTAAAAGTTTATTATCAGGAAACACTGGCATTTTAAACAAATCAACTATCACAAAATCAACCTCAAGGGAACGAAACTAGTTTTACCAAAAGGAGTAACATCCATGTCAATCTTTGTTGGGAAAGAACCGTAGACTCGACAACAAAATCCAAAGATACTTTTGTTGTCACAATTAAAAACGATGAGATCGATATTAATATTAAAAATATTTCTAATGAGATCACGAAATGGAGCATACAATTTAATCATTATCTTTGTTCTTTTTCTTGTCGAATGATACATATTCATACACTATTGCGATGACATGTATACCGTTCTCTCACAGCTCTGGTATATTTAGATATATTTTGAAGTATTGTCTGTCTTGTCTGTGTGTCTATGGGTACCCGTGTGCATATCATCACATGTCTCAATACTTTTTATATTCAGTTTGACTTGTTGTCATGCTTTATTCGTAAGGTATATAATAATCGTGCATCACATCTTGAAATGGTGGCCATGTAATACAATAATTGCATATTTTTTCTCTCCATGTGTGATAACCATACATTATTATATAGAAAGTACTTCTTGTTTCGTTCGCGTAGCCAATATTTCGCGGTTGTCCCGATCAGAACTAGATCACTGGGATTGAAATTTTTCGCATTATTACCAAGTAAAAATAATGCACTTACAGGTATACTTTTGTATTTAGGTAAGGGCATTAATTTTACAAGTGTTTTATCAAAATAACGCAAAATATCATATCAACTCATGTTTTATCACCATTAATTGGAATTTAAAGGGTAATTGGGTATTTTTGTTTATCTCTGTATATGCATTTACATTTGCTTGGTATTTAATATTACGCTAACTTTGGCGACCGCGAAAACAAAAGGGAAATAAAATCACCCGCGCGATTGAAAACCATACTGTTAATAAGTACCAAATTTGTGTTATGGCTAATTGTTTTATATTGGCAGACTTTCAGATTATCAAAGCGTCAAAGTTAGATGTGAAAGATGTTAGGAAAATGATCCTTGCTTCGTTTTATAAAATGAAACAGGCTGAGCATTATTTTGTATTAAACTATCGTTGATTTTTTTCCCCATAAATATCTTGTTTTAATCTACTTAGAGTAAACCAGAAGAGGTGAAAACGGCCGTAACGACCGCCCTGGATGCCGGGTACCGTCTCATTGACACGGCGTACAACTACCAAAACGAGGACGTAATAGGTGAAGGCATTGCCGAGAAATTGAAAGGCGGCAAGCTCAAAAGGGAGGACCTGTTTATAACAACAAAGGTAATAAAGGGGAGGGAACCATTCAAAAGGCGCATTAGAAATAAAGTTAGTAATAAATGTGAAACAATCAAAACATGCGCTTATTAGCAATATGATATGAAAGGTGGGAGGGGGTGTAAGAGAGTAAGGATGCTGCAGAAATCACGATGAATGCAGACCAGGTTATTACAAAAAGAAATGACGTGTTACTTGCTATATTGTTTAATCAAATCAATATCAATATTTGAAACAAAAAGGCATTAACCTGATTAAAACGAGCAAAGGGAAAACTAAAATAAGTCCTAGTTTTTAAATCAGTACTCCTGTAAGGCAGTATAGATTTCGAAGTGTTTGCCCCAAGTATCACCGGTAAGTCATTGAAGGACGAAACTGCTGTTGATGTGACGTGAAATATTATTTGGCATATTATTTATATATCATCATGTTTTAAAGGTGCAATCACATGTGTGTTTGTGTGTGTGTGTCTCCGCGCGCGCACGTGTGTGTGTGTGTGTGTGTGTGTGTGTGTGTTACGTTAATAATTCTGAGTCTAGTGAAATCTCAAGCTGAAATAGTGGCTCTAAAAACTGCAAGGCAAATTGACATCATCTTAAAGTTTGATTTTATTTACCATGTTGAATAATATTGGGCTATTAGAAATTACACATGGACTAGTAAAATTTGAAACTAATTACCCAACTGATTAGTTGTGTTTAAGGTAAAGTACACGTATAAGGTATAGTATCACTGTTAATTACGCTACCACAGGTAGGCGAGCTAACCGATACAAGGTTTATATGTAGGTCACTAGCCTCGCTCTCAATTTTAGGACGTGACGTTACTCGACTTTGATCCTGTTACGTAACTGGTGTTCTCGATAAGCATAAGGCGCTTACTGTTTCCAAAACATATATCATATTCTCGTCGTACCTTTTCAATGTTCTTCCAGTAAACCTATTTTTGTGCATTCTTTTTACTTTTAAGTTGAAACGTTTATAAAAAATACATGATATGTTCACTTACAGTTAGGAAACATCTTAACCCGGCCCTCTGACGTTCAGCAGTCCATGTCTGAAAGTCTAAAAAAATTACGGCTCTCCTACGTAGACCTTTTCCTGATACACATCCCTGTAGTGCTAAAGGTAAGTTGTAAGCTTCGTAGAAGGTGAGTTCCAAGTACGAGTGTGTTTACATTACGGTAATCCTATATTTTTGTTTCAGAAAGAGTGCAGAATGTGATGTAGATACCAGTTATCAATTACGGAGCACCTTCTGTTGTCAATGGTTAAACATATGCAGGAGTTCAGCATCCATTTGGCATAATTTTTGTGTCATATCCTGTTAAAATCCCATTTTTATCTCGAATCCCTTATTTGGCATTAATTTCTTTGTTTGTTTATTAACTATTCGGTTTTATTTACCTCCAAATGCGAGAAATTACTTACAATTTAGTATTCCTGCGTTTAGAGATAAGATTCACAAGCACAAGTAAACATTGAATTATTGTCACAATGTGATGAAAGAAAGTTAATATGTATAGAAATAATATACATTATTTAGCAAATCCTCTTAAATTGTCAATCTGAACTTAATTAAACTGTTTACATTGTCAGTAATCAATTTCCAAAGTCTTTCCTGCCCTTTTTTATCAAAAAAGTAAAGTTGCAGATAATTTGTTTAGTTCGACTCGTTTTTGTACAGTTTCGCAACTTAATGTTGAGAATAATGTCTGTACTATTTCTTCTTACATACTCAATGCTTTCACTGAACGGATGTTTGATTATACGTTTGATTGTCCATTATACTTGCCGAACGGTCCTTATTTTCAACTGTTTTGCTTAATGTAAGATTTTAGTACTTTTAAGACATATATCTATTTTGCTGCGCTAACAGAACATCTGGTAGCGTATTGGTGTTTTTGAAAGTTGCAAGGAACGCTACCGTCAGACCTACCTACATTTTTGTATGTATTCATTCCCCTTTTCGTTAAAATGAAAATAAATTAAACTTTCACTTAAAAGAACTGGTATCTAAATGAAAACGTTTCTTCTTTCTTTGATTAGAAACAAGCCGACCCTAAAATTGTATTTCCCTTCAAAGATGGCCAACTAGACCATGATGGCCCTGTTGACTTTGAAGGCGTATGGAAGGTAAGTTATAAGGCTTCTTTGAGTTTAATGCATAACTATTTCATTCGTTATTGATACATTAGATCAATTCACGACTTTCCATGCTGATTGTCGTGAGTTTGATTGACTTTATAAGCAGTGTAATTCAATGATTATTCAGTCATGCGATCAACAGCTGTATGGTTCAAATGTTAAACGTTTGCTTTGCACTTTTCATATGTCCTATTTTCGATGTATTTAGGAAATGGAAAAACTTGTTGACGAAGGGAAGGCTAAAAGCATTGGCGTATCAAACTTCAATGTTGCACAAGTGGAACGCATCATGAAATGTGCACGTATTAAACCAGTGGTGAATCAGGTAGGTTCATGTTCGCACGTGAGTTACCTCTTCTGTATCATTTTCCGGCAGAGGAACAATTTTTTTTTGTGGAAAATAGCAAAACTATAAAATCGTTTGTTTTTTTAACATGGATACTCTTTCCTTAAACATATTGCTTTTTAAATTGAAAGTTCTTCATTACGATTGGTTACGGCGTTATATGTATAGGAATGGTATATTATTTAAATACTATACTTTTTCTCTTTTCTATTTTTTTCTCTAAACAAATCTGTAGATAATAAAATGAATATCAATTCTGTATTATAAGTAGCTATAGTTATCTGTAATTCGGATACGGATGTGTTATGTTATTGTGTCGAGGTTATGGTATTCAGTTTAAAATGACCGTGTGCTGGCCCTTATCTGCAGTAACCGATAGACGTTAACTCTATCAAAAGCAAAGGATGTTTACGGAAAAACATTATCAAAATAATTAACGAAAGAGTCATGGTACTGAATTTCCTTGTATGGTCTTAGCACAAACTCCAAGCTTCGATATTTCAGCCAACTTATTTCTCACTTAAAATGGGTCGGTGTAAAACATCCACATTGCCCGGACATCTTTGAATAAACAGATAAAAAGGAAAATAACTTGTTAGCCGATCTGGACGAGTTAAACCCGACCTGAATAGCCTAAGCGGTACACCGTTCAAATTTGAATCAATATGTGTCAAATATGTGACAGCATTTCCTACTGGATTGGACAGGTCACATGGCGTAGAAACTACGTGTTTTTCGCCGTTACTTCCATTAAGCAATAATGATCTATCTTTTTCTCCCTCTTTCTGCCATTCTCTATCTTTATGAAAGTTTAGGTTAATTCATTGTATTAAATGCTTATAGTTTCCTTCAAATTGTTTTTAGATTTGTTCCAACTAACTTGTAAGTAAGTATGTTGAAATACACATTCCCATTTACAAATCATCGGATAGCTTGATTAAACACGTATACATGTTTCCTTACACGAGGCCTTGCCTATATAGAGTTGATATTTACGCCACTTTCCTTCAGGTTGAGTGCCACGCCTACTTCCCGCAGAACAAATTAGAAGCTGCCATGAAGAAACATAACATAGCGATAATGGCTTATAGTCCGATTGGATCCCCCGGCAGTGCAGCATTTACTACGTGAGTTTGTATGTAAACATTATAGCACCCATCCTCGATGCTCAAGAGGTAACGCTCACTTTAGCTCTTTGACTGGCAACCAGCCCCTAAGTTTTTTATGAAGAATTTCTCGACTACATTTTACTACTAGCTTATCTCCCCCTAGTTTAGAACAGACATCCAAGTGATCAAAATTATTAGAGTTAGTTTTTTCTTAATTATTTAATATTCTAGAGACGGTGGCCAGTCTATTTAGCTCTGTGCACCCATGGAATATTTCAGAACAAATGCGGATGAGACAAGAAGACTAGTTTGATCCTTCGATGGACATCAAAAGAATCTGTATGTAGGACTCTTGCCTTCAATTTTGCCATGACATGTCCCAGAGGTGCTGAGGGCGACATTGAGCGTAACCAACAGAGTATCGAGGGTGCGTAGCACCAAAAGATAAATATATGTATAAGCCAATGGTCAAGGGAAATTAAAAGCTTAACTGTAAAAATACATATTTATTGGGATTTTTGCCTTCTTTTCTGGTTCGGCACTTTAGTTTTAACAAATCGTTTCTAATAAAAAAAAAATCCACACAATACAGATCTATTCATGAAGCTTTTCGAAGAAGTAAAATTTATAGATACATTTATGATGAATTAAAACAAAGAGAATAAAACTACATCGAGGTCTACATTTGATCCGGGTACTTGAGACGGTCACCATCAATTTCTGATATGCCTGTTCATCGAAAGCAAACTAGCTCTGACCCACTACAGTTGTATCCAAAATGAAATCATGAGAGTATCCTTCAAGATAACAAATATTACCATGGAATCATCTAGAGTTACGCCTGTAGTGGGATAGTGTTCTTTAATTCGATAGCAGTTTACTTTTACATCTCAATGATTTTACCTTACACCTGTGGATATCAACGTATTACTCGTGTAAAATATCTATTTATTCTACTGAAAAAAAAATAAAAAAATATCACTGGCAATGATGTCATTTGTTCCGAGGTTAATCACATGATTGACGTAATTATTCGATCTCATAGATTTGTGTTGATTTCTTGAGAGAGAAAATTAACGGCCCCTACGATTGTGCTCTTATTTTTATGATATCCCTGATATTCATGTTTTTGATGTGTATGTTGACAAAATGTACGGCTTCTACACTTGATTTGTTTATGTATTTTATTTTTCCCCACAAAGCTGTATCTGGAAGAATCTCGATTAAGGGGTTACTTTTCAAGACATATTTATCACAAAATCTACAACTGTTGAAATGTTTAGAACCAGTGTTCAATATTATTGTTGAATGGTCTTGGAAATGGTACAGGGACCGATCGTGGACATTTGCTCTAACATAAACCTAGATTATACCTACTAATGTAATAAAATGAAACTTTTAATGCAAAATATAGTTTAATGGAACTTGTTTGACATTCTGAATTAAAAAACAAAACAATTGCTGATTCAAATAATTATTCATCATGTCTTATTTAGATGATACCATTTTTAATATTTAACATTTTGATAATTTGTTATAAATACAGGATACCGGGCGAGGCGCCTCTGCCTGTGTTGCTTAAAGATCCTGTGGTGGCCGGGCTAGCTACAAAGTATAAGAAGTCTCCTGCTCAGGTATACATATACTATATACAGTTTTGTATAGACTGTATATATAAGGAAATCATTGTTTGTGTATGATACATTACGCACGCATATTGTCAATGTTAGATGCATTTTAATGTAAAATGTCAAATAATGCATCTGATATTTTGGTATGTTTTGGTCATTAGTTCATTCAAACAATATGCTTAGAAACCTGATAATTCTTGTTCAAATTACAAATCAGACCATGGCAACAAGTCCAAGTTTTGTGTTGTAAGCGAGGCATTAGTTTCGAGGCAGGAAAATATACCAACCCTTAATGATGCATTCCCGAATATTTTAATTATTAATTTCAAGCTCAATGTATTTAAATGTGTTGACACTCCACATTTGATTATCTAGGATGTGGTTAGCTGGTTTATAAGCACATATTTCGAGGTAGTGTGTACTTCAAGTGCTTTTTACAATGAAAGTCAATTGTCTTTAATTGCTGTAAATTGCGTTAAAGAAAACCGCTGTATATTTTTGTGTACCTCTTTAATAAAACTGTACCGAGTCTGCAACAAATAGAAAACAAAATGATACCTGTTTTCGATTAGCACATATTTTATATAACAACAACTTAACATTTTAATAGCATGGTTTAATCAAATAAAGCGGAATAAACTCAATACTAATCTAGATACAAGTTAAGCACTGCTCTATTATCAGTGTGACCTGTTTCAAACCCCTACGTGGCCCATTTCCGGTGCTTCCCCATGCGCGAAAGCGTTCTGGGAAATTGAGGCCGCGTACTATCAACAAGAATATGACTAGAAAACCCCGCGATATCAGTGTTTATTACATGAATACTAGTGAAATATCATGCATTTTCCATTTGATAAACACATATCTTCAATGCAGTGAACAGATACGAAATATTCTTTCTTTACATGTATATATATCATCCATAATATTGTCCTGTCAAAACGGTGCATTCTAATCACTGCGCAGATTTTAAGTTTTAAGTTTAGATGAAGCGACGGCAGAATCAGTGGGTATGTGGTTCCTCCGTTACAACGTACAATATTGTATTTACATAAATATATAATTTGAATTTTTGTTTAGAAATCTTATCATTTGATAGCAACAAACGGCAGAATAACAGTGAGAAACCCAAATAAGTTGGGGCTCTGTGTCGTTTCTGTGTCGTTGTCAAGCGTGACGTCATTAGAACCTGGCGTAAAAAAAACACGCTTCAAATTCCCGCGCTTCTTTGATGAGGGAAAGGATTATTTGCGTAAAAATGTAATAACTACAAAATAGTTTTCCCGTTATATACGATAGTTATATTTCACCCATATAAAATGAATATATGATTACAACAAAAAACCCAGAGTTGTGGCAAACTGTGTCTTCGAAGCAGACCGAGAGGCTACAACTTCTTTGACAAGTATCCTCAACCAGATACTAACATTTTATATATTATTCAATTACAGAGGGACTATGATTGACAATTTGACCAAGAACACAGTAAAAACGTAAAGCAACAGTGTATTATCAAATAGAATATCTGTAAAAATTGCGACATATTTGAATCATTTATACGTTTATCCCGCACTCAATAACTGTATCCTTTCTCTCAGAAGATGACGTTGTTATCAAACTGTTAACATTTAAGCATGGGACAATTACTGGGTGACAATAGTGCAACATGTCAGGATATTAAGAGTAAAAACAGAACATTATAAAGTTTAAAATTAATGCAATTAATATCTAAAGAATAAATTCAAATTAGCCTGACTTGTTCCTTCCCGTATTTGTTGGACTGGAAGTGATTGCTTTTTATCAACAGATTTGGTGTCCAGCAGCTTTGCTGCATTTTCTTGTTAAATCAATGCTTGAACAATAATCTTGTAACTTATGTAGCAATACATGCTATTTTAACGAGGAAGATATCTACATTTCAAAGGAGGTTAGAAACCTGTTAATGTTATTTATAATACATTTGAATGCACGTGTAAACAATAAGCAGGTAAATAAGTAAAAGTGTTTAAGTTAAGGATCATAGTACCACTGCCAAAAAGTATTGTGAAAAACATTCCAATACGACTGTAGCTTTGATAAATCGTTTCTGAAAGAAAACTATTCCTTGCGGACTTTTACGAAAAAAAGAAAAGATCACACCAATAAAAAAAGTCAACAAGAGTGTTATGACTGAAAAAAATCAGCGGGGCATGATCAGGAATCGAACCCTGAACTTCAAATTGTTATACTCTAGCTGTAACTGATTGAGCCACCTGGTCAACAGAAGTGTACTAGATAAAATGTGCTACATTTATAACCAAACGGAAGTTAAGAGGAGGCTACCGTATATAGAAAACGGCAGTGCAGGTTGATAGGGATCCTGAAAATAAAACATATTAGGGAAATGACCCTGAGAAACCTCATTTAAGTATTATATAAATCTCTAGACAGAGTTGTCGTTCCTTATATTCACATACAACTCTGGGTTGAGATTTGTACTATATGCAAGATAAAATACGCCATTGATAACATTCAGCTGAAATAGGAACAGTGTTTATATGAAGCTATGAAAAGAAATCACATTATATTAGTTATATTAGTGTTCTCTATCGATGCCAGAAGACTTATACGTCATGTTCACAACCATCCATAAAATATTAGAGCTGTTCTACGAAGATGGAAAAATAAACCGGCCAAAAGATATAAAAAAAAAATAATGACAGATATATCTCCTCTGTAATATTTCGTATTTCGCAAAGAATTGCGATTACTCCCAATCTGTTTGGAACAGTAACTGCTCTCATAAGAAACAATAATATTAAAATGTGAAAATAAATTTTTATTAGTAAATCAATAATCCGCGCTGAGGTGTATTGCTTTATTTGTAGGCTGTAGAGGCAAAACGTACGTGAAATGATAACGTCCAAGGTATTGTCCAGTAAATACACTTTTTTTAGAATTAAATCTAAATATTAACGGAGTTCACAACACCCCAGGTGGTGTAGACATGGGGAAATATGTTGCTTTCAATTTTTGATTAAAGATATATATTTATATTTGAAGTATTTGAAGTGTTATAACTTCCTCCGCATTTTTTTCAGATTCTGATCAGGAACTTGCTTCAGAGGAATTTGATAGTCATCCCAAAGAGTGTGACACCTAGTAGAATACGTGAGAATGGAGACGTGAGTAAAAAAGCAAATGGCTTCAGTGAACACACGTGTTAAGTTCGCCCCTATCACACGCATAAATAAATACCATGCACATTCCAGGGGAGGAATAGTTACAGGAAGCAAAAAAAACATGTTTTGTTTAGTGAATCAGCAGTAATGAAAAAAAGAGTTTTTAAACAATCACAGTCCAAACATATATCTGATCATATTTATTTTTTACCGACCTTGAAAATAATGCGAGAATCATATGAAAGGTAGACACAAGACGGACACATTGTGATATCACCTTAACAATGGAGCTATAGCTGCAGCATGCCACAAATAAACGCATGTCATTTTGGCATTTTGGCATGTGCTTGATAAAGGTTTGCGTGAATACAGCAGCTTTTTTAAATTCAAAACGAAAGCTCACGAATAAACGAAAGCCCACGCGAACACCTCAAGTCTCAAAGGTTGTTTAATTCTAAAGTTTTGGAGTTTAAATTCGATGTCAATCATAAAGAAGCATCTAGACGAATAAATGGGTAACATGTTTATAGATTTCATGCCATGACGTCAGCGTCGGGTGTTCAAAAAATATGGGAAGTACATGCACATTCCAAATAATTATGAGTAAAATGTATATTATAAACGTTGTAACTTCTCAAAAGAGATCTCAGTTGCTATCAAGGTCACTGCAAACCATCGGGAATACGAAATCCAACAGCAGAGTCTATCATATTGTACATGTATATAAATAGATGAACTGAGGACATGAGCATGTGATTGCACTTTTAACATTTTAAGTAAATGATACTGTTAGCAAAAATGAATTACATACTCACCAATCATAATGTGCATTGTTTATATATTTCAGGTTTTCGATTTCAAGCTTTCCCCCGAAGATATGACCGCTATCGCAGGCATTAACAAGGAACTTCGACTGTTAAAATTCCACATGTAAGTAGCAGCTGAAATAAAAACACATACCAAAGCGTTTAGCTGATATAAGCATACTATTTTTGTAAATGTCATTTATCAACCAAATTCAATCGCCAATACTGGCACCATGGATTTCTTCTAGAAGAACTATTTATAATTGAAGTATTTGTATACAATCTTAGAAATTTCCTTAACTAGGCAATTCCACACTGTAACAGCAGTCAGTGGGATGATTTCTTTCAGCTGTTTCGATTCGCTGCATTGCTATTTATTTTCCTCTCCCTTAATGCAAAAATCATTGACTGTGCATTGAAACTTCACAGGCAACATCTATAACTGTCTTAACTTGTCGTTTAACATAGAAATGTTTGCGACAATGATATATCTAAATAGTCTATGTATGCTTTATGCATCGACGCTGAGTATCTTGTTACGTCACGTTGTGCGTTAAATGTTACGAAGAAAAATGTAGTAACAGGCAAAGTTTTATGCACATATTTTATTAAGAAACAAAATTGAGAGAAAATGAGCATGTGTGGAAGTTATTTATATCATATCAACAGCGATGTTTTTAATATTTCAGGATGAGCAATGCACCCGATTTCCCATTCAACGATCTTGTATAGATGATGGAATGGAACATGACCTTTACTGCATCAGCTGTGTGCTGTTTGTGTAGTTCTATGGCATATTTAATGAAAATAATTAACGATTAGTGACTTTTATTCATGGTGTCAGACGTATGGTTCAAAGACGTTTTGATGTTCGATGGAGCAACACAAGTTTCCATCTTAGGTAGAACATATGTTTGAACAATCATGTGTTTTCCTATAGTGTCGTTATTACCGTGTTCTTCTTACACAAACATCGGTTCATCAGAACTACCCACCTTGGCCATCACGTGATCATCACATGATCCAGAGCATGTTACTTTTCGACATGGTCTAGACATCACATTCCACAAGTTGTTACCTATTTATTGAACGTGTTTTTAAAACACCAATCATTGCACAACAAATGCGATATAAATGCTGAGAGATCAGTGCCTATATGTACATGTTAGTGTGAAAATGATATATATATGTTTAACTTACCAAAAAGGACAATTAATAGCGCACAGTCGTAATATTTGCATAAATAAACAGTATTGGAGTGTCTATGTGAGTTGTTATTTTATAATCGTCTTAACGCTGCGTCCGTCATTTTTTTTTAACTGCTTGGAAGTTAAATGTTGTATTTTAAAGTACAACATATGTTTAAATGCTGCCCATTACTTATTGCATTTATAATGCACAAAGGCACAGAACAGTACGTAAGTATTTATTTTCGAATATTTGTTCAGGGATACTGATTCAATGAGACAATTAAAGTGATAGCTAGAGCTGTATTACTCCGTCTTTTTTACGTATGATGCCTAAAGAATGTCGGACGATCTCTAAGTGTTGGATTGATATGTTACAACGGGACTGCAGAAAAAAAGTGGACAGAATAAGTGTTCACTATCAACATTAGGTACGTTCGGCAAGGCATCCCAATAAATAAGATAGTTGATTATGACGGTGATGCGATAAAAGGCACTTTTTACACGAGTAAAATGCAAAGAGTTAACAAAAGCAGATAAGATATATTCGAAGTGAAAAGGTTTTGAAACGTCGCAATAGAAATGACATATCGAAGGTATATGTCAAGTGGTTCGGTTACCTAAGACACAGTTTAATAACTGGATAAAGGAAATTGGTATGGAAAACGTATAGGATGCTTGTACAAATAGAGCAACATTTTCTCAAGCGTCATTTGTACTTAATACGTGGAAGGATTAACATCGATCAAAATGAAACACGGATGTTATGTCTGACCTCAAGACTTGCTTCGGCCTCAGTATGTGCCGCAAGTTCCACAGCAGGTACTGCAAAAAAGTGCTGCAGGGACCGCATGTTCCGCAAGTGCCGCAAAAAGCGCCGCAGGTTCCGCAAGAGGTACCGCAGGTACCGCAAAGAGTAATGCAAGATTTCGTCTTCAAACATCCGTTCAAGACTAATAGAATCCATCCCTGACGTGAGGTATGGATGAGGTAATTCAAACCCGAGGGATAAAATATTGAGCAGGAGACCCTTAGCCTTGCCGTGGGTCTTCTGCTCATTATATTTTCCCGAGGATTTTAATTATTTTATCCATATCTCATATCAGGGATGGATTCTTTTTCTTGCTTATAACCTTAAACCCGTAAAACAGCTGCTCTTCTAGTAAAATTGTAAACTGTCCTCACATTTCTCATTTGCATATATTAATGACGCCAATGACCCTGACTGACCCCAAAACGTCAAAAAATGACATCCCGAACAATAGCGTGACCCCGAAAGGTCACTTCAATTCCCCCGCCAGTCTGTGCGTGTAAGCGATCCAGACCCGTGGGTCGGATAGAATTTTCCAGCACCGCCGTAAATGCTGATATCTCTGTCTAGTATGCAAGAAAAATATTTCCGTACCGACGTCCTTTGGGAAAACCTATTTCGTCGGATAGAATATCACCTCCACCACAGAGAATCGTATGGCTTTACAAAAAATGGCAACCTATGTACGATATCATTAAATCTACAGTCATTCCAGCAGTAGAATTTATATAAGGAATCCCAATAGATATAAAACAGGACTCGTATCTAGACATCAACATGAGAAACGTAAAACTCTCAAAGACATCAGCTAACAGTAACACGTCCGTCTTTAGGTAAAGGTTATGGTAATTACCAAACCACGTTACATCAAATGTTTGCGAGACCGATTGCGCGTGTTCATAGTCTGCGTCGGAGGGGTCAGATTCTGTCAGTTTATTATAAAACTGATCTTTTCCGGACACACTTTTCTATGTCACGTAGTTTGTACGGATACACCCCCCC